TCAATCAGTCAATCGATCAATACTAATCATACATTTGAATGCTTGTACTTTTCAATTAATCCTCAATGAAATGCTCTCAATAGAAATAGCTGTTTAACAGAAGTCGAGAAGTTAATAAGACGTACATTTTCCAAACAAACCAGTTAGTATTCATTATTAAAGTTTTTACTCTTGAAAAACACTCATCACATCCGATTTATAACATGGTTGTAGATATATCTCCTGTGACGAAGAAAATGGCCCCTCACCTTCCCCACTGGGGTTCTTCAGCAGGTTTTTGGCCATGACTGCAGCTTGAACAGGAGGAGGAGGCGGGGCTGAAGAAACAGGAAATGAAATCAATAAGTGTCTCTACTGCGGTTTCTAATGGGCGGACAATCCCCAGGATGCAGATACAGCTTGCTTTATTCCATCTGCATCCTGTACAGCATACATTAGACTTCTTACTCATGAACTCTGTTTATAATACACAGTTCATCTGTACATGTGTTATTTATTAAAGTATACAGTGTTTGTTCTACTGTACAGTATTTCATTTTACATTATTTATTCTACTTTCTATGTACATATATATTTGTCTTAGTCCTGCAACTGACTGGCACCATTATGACAATTGCACTATTTTATTGCACTATTTATTTTCATATATTTGTATGCTAGGTATATTGTTTGTTGCATTTTTGGAGTAGCATTTGCCAATAAAGCTAAATAATAATGTCTCAAACAAGGATTATATGATCATAATGGCATACAGTCGACTGCTTTAGAGTCAATTAACACTTTAAAACAAAATTATTCCTGCAAATTACCGGCATTATTATTGAACTTTTACACTACTTTGTTGTTATTTTGTGTCATTTTTCTCTCCTCATGTTTAGAGTATTGTATGTTGCATGTCGGAGGAGCATACGACACTGTAACTATTGTGCATATGATAATAAAGCCCTTTAATCTCAATTATTAATGTCCCAAACACACAAAACATGCAAGGGTTGTCTGATGCTAAAGGCAAAAGAAACGATGAGATCTTACGTGGGAAAAAATATGAATTTGGACACACAAATGTATTTACTGACAGACACGGTGTTTGGTCCAGCAGCATTGAAAAGGTTAAATGTAAAAGTCCATGAAGGCCGGGTCACCTCCACAGAAGTGGAACACTAATACCCTGTTCTGCTGACTCACTGCTCAACAAGTGGGCCAAAGCCTCTCTGTGCACATGCTGAATAGCAGGAATCACAGAGGATCAACCCGTCATCAAACACACATCAGTCAGCATGAAAACAACCCGGGGTCGTGTGTTGCCATAGAAACTGTGGAAAGCAGGAGGTTAAGGAGCTGTTTTGAGGCTGAGGAGGTTATAGGTGTTACTGAAATGTACTTAAAATGAACTGGCTTTAAGAGAAATGCATAACATGTAACAGGATTATGTAATCAGGATACAAACAAAAGGATTCCCTTACAGTTACATACAAAAGAGTAATCAGATTACTGTTATTTTGCGAACTAGCAGGATTACAATGTTACAATTCAAATGTACTATCACCGTAATAAACCGTATTTAATTGTACCATATCTAGACTTCTTGCACAATCTTTTATTTGTATTTTTGTATGTTGCATCGTTGGAGGAGGTCGGGTCAGAAGATTTTCATTGCCATTAAAACCTTTGAATCTTGAATCTTGTTAGTAAAAACCTAAGAGCATATACAGAAGTGTTTGTTGTAAAGCATCAGATGTTCTCTCTTCTCTGTAAACTGTGCTGTTCTGTAGGATAATACTTTAAGTGTGAATCTATACTTCTACTGCCTGAATCTGCTTTATGGTTTTCACTTTCTTTGGTTAATTACATAAATAAAATCTCTGAGCAGAGGACACATCTTTGATCCTAAATATCTTGGTTTCTTACATAATACACTGAAGTAAGAATCATCTTATTGATATTCCCTTTCCCTTGTATGTATCTGCACTGCATTTAATATTGAGGTAATCCAAAAGAAAGTACATTGTTTATATATGTTGATACTCAGATCAGGTTACAAGTCATTGTAACAGAATACATTTCAAAGGTTACCCTCCCAACTCTGACAATGATCCTACACATTTTTTTAAAACTATAACCACTTCAAACCACTAAGTGTTCTGTTATAAGATCAGAAAACTCAAAATATTCCTACATTTCTGAGATTACTCATCAAATTACTGTCAATGCAAAGACTATTTGTGTACTTTAAAAAAGTCACACCCAAAGAATATATAAAGGTCACAACACCAACAATAACCTATAAAAGAAGCAGTTTTGGACATTTTTAAAGGAAACGCCATGGAGGTATTTATCTGAGTAACATACAACATCTCCCAGTTTCTTGTTTGCATTATAACATTACTCACTAAGGCACCAAACAAAAACAGCCGAGTCATGTTCCCTGGCTGCAGACTTGACATCAGAGGCATAAAATACGCAGTACATGCAAAAATACTCTCATGATCCACTGTAAATAAACCCATTCTGCTCCGTGTGAAAACAAAAAAGCTTACTCACAGCGAGAGGAAATGCAGTCTTCTCTGTCCTTCGTCTCTTTTTCTCACTTGCGCTTGAGCTCCTTTGCAGAGGCCCCCTCGTCACAGTGAGGCCTTTATAGCCAGGGAACACACACACACACACACACACACACACACACACACACACACACACACACACACACACATACGCAGTGAGAGAGAGGGGGAGGGAGAGACACAAAACCCTCTGCAGGTTAGGGAAAGCATCCATCCAGCAGAACTCAGCAGAACCACACATGCTCACACTCAGCACAAATGTCAGTAAGAGCAAATATAAAACCCTCAGTGCTCTTCTTTCTAAAGGACACATGCAGGCCTTTAACTGTACTAACGTTGTATTCTGTAGACATTACGTTACATGTCACTTGTTAGACGCTTTTATCCACAGCGACTAACATACTCAATACTGTGGGCAATCCCCACAGGAGCCATTTGGGGTGAAGTGTCTCAGGGACACAACGACATGCTGACTGCAGTCAGGGTTTTAACCTGATCAGAACACCAACGCTCTGCCCACTGCGCCACACGCCACCCCCAACAACAACAACTATGAAGTCTCCACAAATGCACTTGTGTCTGCAACTATATCTTTGCTTTCTTTCACCTCCTCTGACAAGTCCCACTTTTTCATCAGGAAGCTTCACATCAAGTGTGCTGTTATGGCGCGTTAGTGACGCAGAGAAACACAGTGGGAAAGTCCTGTACAGTATGTCCAAAGAAGAAGAAGAAGCAGCGCCCTCTATTGATTGAGTAATTCAAAATAATACAAACAGCATATACATATAACTTTAAAATTAGTTGTGAACAAATGCACCGCCTCATAGTTGTCATAAGGGGCTTATCTAACTACAAAGATCATTTCGTTTTGAGAACCAGGCTAGAAAAATGTTTATTTCTGGTGTAAAGTTGGGCATTTTAACAAGAGGATCTATGGACATTGCTCCCTGCTGCAACCAGCCCCCTACAGGCCACCTGATGAACTGCAGGCTGTGGCACTTCCGCATAGGCTTCACTTGCCGATTATCTCATACATTCTTACAATTAAAAAGACTTCAGAGGACATCTAAGGTTGGATTTCAAGAATATGCGCTTGTACAATTAAATTGTTACTCTAAACCTTACTCAAAATAAAATTATAAAGAAATAGTGAAAGTCTCCACACATTTTGACAATAAAAATGATAAAAAATACGCTAATAAATCGTCCAATCATGCAATCATCAATCCATGATAGGCACTATTACTTTTTGTAATCTAAACTCATTTTAATGCTTGTACTTTAAAAAAAATGTTACCTCGTTGAATAAAGGTGCATTTAAAAGTTTAAATGCAGCTCTACGTCACAGCTCTACCATGGTATTACTACTTTTAGATAAGGTGAGTACTTGCCCCCCCCAAAGCTTATACGTACGTTTTCTGTCATGAGTTTTGATAAAAAATAAACCCAAAGATACAGAAACATTAGTGTAAACAAGAGAATAAGTATTACAATTTGGGAAGGCACATGAACACATCAGAAAACTGCAGTACAGTGGCAATACAATATATCACCTGCAGAGGGGGGTAATGCACTGCAATAAAGTTATACCGTTTTTGGTATTACTAATGATGTGTTTTACTCATAGAATGTATATATAAACTAAGATATATACTAAGACATCTGACATAAACATCTCAAAATCTGATAGTAGAAAATTGTTAATTTGGTTGATGTCTAATGGTAACACAAATATTTAAGTTCTGCAAGAAATCTGAATCTATGTCATGTTATTGCATACTTTATCAATAGGTTATTACCAGAAGTGAGAGAAGTACTCAGATCTTGTACTTGAGTAAAAGTAGAAGTACTCAGATATTGTACTTGAGTAAAAGTAGAAGTACTCAGATCTTGTACTTGAGTAAAAAAAAGTACCAGAGTGTAGGAATACTCTGTTACAGTAAAAGTCCTGCATTCAAAATGTTACTCAAGTAAAAGTAGAAAAGTATTATCATCAAAATATAGTGAAAGTAGCGACAGTAAAAGTAGTCGTTGTGCAGATTGGTCCATTTCAGAATAATATATATGATATGTTTTATAATGATTGATCATGAAAGTGTTCTCAAAGCTGGTAAAGGTGCAGCTAGTTTGAATGACTTTGTATACTGCAGGGTAGCTTGTGAATTTACTCCAGGTGGAACTACAGTCTGATTTAACACTTGATTATATTTCACATCATTCATCCAGATCTGTAAAGTAACTAAAGGTATTAAATACATGTAGTGGAGTCAAAGTACACCATGTACCTCTGAATTGTAGTGGAGTAGAAGTACAAAGACGCAGGACAGTGACATACTCAAGTAAAGTACAAGTATCTCAAAATTGTACTTGAGTAAATGTACTTAGTTACTTCCCACCTCTGTCCAACATATGAATAGTTCTTTACAAAAGAGAGTATATGGGTACACAAAAAGAGGCTTTATTCTGGGCCACAACACCAACGGGTCATAACACAATGAATACATTACGAACATTATAACAATACACACCTCCCAATATGGGAGAGGAATAATTCAAGTTAAACATTGCAGTTTGATCAGGATTGTCGTGCAGACAGTACAGAACAACATTCAACGACCAATGGGAACAGCACTGTGCCATAAATAAAGAGTGGTGTATAAACCATACAAAGGCAGACGTTTCTGGAAGTTTCCAACACTGGGATTGCAGACATGGCTTTAAACAGGGATGAGGACATACTGTAGAGTTAGTGCTTTTTGTTGGAGCTGCATTTCTTCCTGTATTGATAATCGTTTCCTGGAACACACGCTGAGTATTTTCCATTTAAATCGTTTTTCCACAGGGAGACGTTTCTGTCCTTGTTGCTGCAGAGGCTTGATAAACCGTGCTCTGATTCAACACGTCCCAAACAGCAGTGCGTTTCAACCTCATGACCTTTGTAGTCTTTCCTGCTGTGGCTTTTTAGTGCATGTCCAGTGACCCATAACAGTCCCTTCTTGAATGGGTTCTCCTGCTCATCTCCTGCATGTTTCCCTGTTTGTTTCAGGAATGTGACGGTGGTTCCAGTTGTGTGGAGCAGGGAGGCTCCTTCTTTGGATCTAAGCTTCAGACGAGGCCTGGGGTTTGAGCTGGGCCTTTTCCATGGTGGTACCGTACGGATCGGACCTCTTAAAGAAGCCCATCTGCAGGGAGACATGGAGAGAGGAGGATCAGAACAAAGATATATCCGACAAAAAGGAGTTTAACTTCAATTACACTTGATGATGAGTCAGATGAATCAAATCTGACTTTTCCCTTCAGATCATTGGCGGGTTATGTTATTAAAGACTTATTTAAGATTATACTAGTCAATAAATCAAATGCAATACGCACACGTATCAACACACCATACACATTGTACAAAAAGTACCCTTTAAAACACCATTACTGAGGAAAATGAACAATAGTTAAATACGCTTTCATAGAAAAATTCAAACATAGTCTATCACATCACTGATGAGTTGTACAACACCCGAAATTGCATGAGAAACTTTGTTTTGTGATTAAAACAGACACAAAAGTGTCAAGACCTTTTTTCTTTCTTTGTGAATGTTTTTGCCTCTGTGGCAGTTTTGTGTCTCTTTCTGTGAATGTTGTGTATCCTTGTGAAAAATGTAGTATCTCTTTGTTGTCATTTTGCATCTCTTTCCTTCTTTTTTTGGGTGTCTAGTGTCCAAGCAGTCCTTTTTCAACAGAGGCTCTATGACAGGTAGAACTGTATCTTAGGTTGTAAAAACCATCTAATCCCCACCTCAACTGTACATGACGTGGCTGTAAACAATATCCTAACACCTGTCAGTCACTATTTTCTAGTATAAGCAGGGTTTTATATCCGCTTGTTACCTTGTATAGTAGATATATGAGCAGGGCGAGTAACAGCAGCCCAGCCAGGATAGCCAGGATGATGATCCACACAGGAACAGGGAAAGGTGTGTCCGGTTTGTTCCACATCACAGCCATCACCACCTGAACAACAAGAAACAACAGCATGTGTGAGCCTTCGCAGATTTGTACCACCTTCACATGTTACTATCCATTGAAAACATGTCTAATGTTCAGTAAAAAACCCGATGAAGTTACCTTTTTGGATCCTGATGGCTTGAATTTGGGAGGAATAGAATAAGGCATCTTGTCCACCTTGTAGTGAACAGAGCACTCCAGGACAAACTGCTTATAGACCCTCTGTGGACCGGCAAAACACAAATATTTTAATATGAATATAGCGCTTAAAAAACAGCACTTTAAACAAATAATGCTTCAAATGTAAATATGCCGGATTTTAGCTTTGAGCTAAGTTCCATCCGTAGTCCCTCACATACAACATTTAAGAACATGACATTTATATACATAGCAAAAATAAATACATGATATGCAGATGATACCAAAATAGTCCTAGAAAGACAAGTTAAACTTAACTAATGTTGCGAAAACTAAAAGGTGCCATGGGGTCAGATTAGAATTTCCGAAAGGGGGGTTCGTTTAGCATGAAACACTTGAAATAACTAAAGGATAAGTTAAAAAATAAAGTAGAAAGAAAGAAAGACTATTTCTGCTAAAAAGTGAGCAATGATTGAGAGTCAGACCTAAACATTTCAGATGTGTGTATCTCACACTGCACTGTCACTTTAACTCATGTACCTTTGTTATTCATGTTTTATTGTCTTTGCTTTAAAATTAGTATTTTTAAATGACATTTTATAATATGTTTCTGCTCTTCATGTCTTTCATTTTTGTAAAGCACTTTGAATTGCCTTGTGTTGAAAGGTGCTATATAAATAAACTTGCCTTGCCTTAAATCGAATCATCTTGTAAGCCTAGTGTGTTCTTAGTACTTCCCAACAGAGGGCAGTATAGGAACACATATTTGTAGACGTTGCTTCTCTCATACAGTCCCTGTCTCCCTCTTGGAGTGTTCCTGTACTGTAACAGATTGAACATGACCCAGCACAGTTCCTGTAGCCTCACCTCGATGAAGGTTTCGGCCCAAAGTCTGGATCGTAGAGTCAGGATGACGCTGGCTCCTCTCTCCAGCGTCCCAACATCACACTGAATCTGCCAGCACTCCACTGAAGAGCAGCTCTGTGGAGAGAGACAGAGAAACAGTCAAACACAGCACACTCAGCACTACTGATGACACTCAGATATTGGATCGGGAGTCTCAAATCAACATGAATTGTCACAGTTTATTACATGGTTTAGTTGAATACTCGATTCTGATTGGTCAATTCAGAACACGTGACACGTTGTTAATCCAGAACAGACAGACCGCTGTCAAGGATTTATTGACCGTTGTTAACCTCTTAAACCCTGAGCCTGTTTTTCAGGTCTCAGGCTCGACAATGACATTCCCAGAACAAATGACCATATCTTCCCTTCTAAAAGGGTTAAATTAATAATCTTTATTCTCAAAGTAATGATAAACCTGTGAGTTGGATGTAGAAAAGTCAGAATCAATATAGATGTTTTTTATTTTAAAGAAAATTCAGATTTTACATAGTAAAAAACTGTAAATTATAGTGTCCGTCCAAAAATATTTTTTTACTTATAGTGAAAACTACCCTTGGATGATGGGTTAGTAGACTAAAAGCTTTAGGAATCCAAAGTACAACATATAATAAGTACCCTGTATCAATATTGATGCAAAACAAGTGAAATTTGACCTTTTTAGAGAGATTTAGCCAAAAACCCCCACTTCTGGGGTCATTTGGGTGGATTTGACCTATCTCTGGCCCCCCTTGGTCGATTTTGATGAATGAAATCTCTTTATAACCGCTAGAGCCAATGGAATCGAGGGAAAGTTATATACACACCAAAACGTTAACAAATAAGGAGTGAGAGTGACGCGTTACCAAACCGGAAGCTGCATACACTCTGGTGGCTACCATTAGCAGCTAACCTTTCCGCTCCGATTTTTACATAAAAAATGGAATTATGGAATATAAATAATTTTTTAAAAGGTACAGGTACATTATCAACCTATGGATCAACAGTTGTAGACATTTTTTTTTCGTTTTAATGCCATTGAACACGTCTTTTGACCTAATTGACAGCTACGGTGAGACGATCTGCCGTAAAAGCTCCGTAAAGGTACGTGTTGTGATGTCTGTGTTTGCTTCCCCCATCGCAAGTTCGGATCGCTCAGTGATGATACTATACCTAAATAATCAGTGGAGTCTCAGCTTTAATAGGCTATATTGTATGTGCAGCTACGATAAGTAATATGGGTATCTTTATCTTGAATTGTGTGCCGCAGTGCGTTAGAATTTTTTCGCTCAGGTGTCATTTAGACCCTTCTTATGAGACTTGTGTTTTGTTTTGGTAAAAATGGTTCATATCTTCAGTTAGCTGAGATTCTTCCCGTTAATCTGGTGCTACACATTAATAGTTTCATAAATGTTAAGAAGCCCTGAGACATTATCTCGAAAACAAAAAGGTGGGAGGGGTCCAATGGGGGGACCGCCGTGCTTAAGAGGTTAAGGACGCTCACATCTGCACAAACAAGTCCGGTCGATTGAACTGTATACAGTTTGGTCTAACTGACAAGACAAGAGCGACAAGAAAACAGCGGAGAAGTAACGGGCAGACACCCTCCTTTTTACGCAGCGGTCCAGACATAGACATCAAACGGCGACACATATTCAGTTGCCAGTTACTTTGGCATTAGGGCAAGGATATCTAGATACTTTCCAAGGTTTGACATAATGAATTGTGCTACTTTTAAAGCAAGCAACGATGTTTTCAAATCTGTAATCAAAAAGCTCCGCCTTCCTGCCATTGCGTTGCGACGTTTTTTTTTTTCAAACGGTAACAACGGACTATTTTCCTTAGCGGATGCATGTCAATTTAAATCAATACATACAACTATTTTTTAAATCAATAAAATCATTTTCTAAATCCATAAAAGCATTTCAATTAATAGTGGGAGTCTATTTGTTGAGAATGTGGCCATGTAATAAGACCGCGTCGCTGCACATTATCCCTTACTTATTCTGCAGAACGATGTTGTATACAATTATGATTTCCATACATGGTAAGGAGGTCCACTTCAGAACAGGCTGATACACATTGTTCTGTTGACAACACATATTGTCAATAGGCCTCAAATACATCTTACTTAATCGCCACTTCAGTAGAACTTAAAAAAAACACATTTAGTTTAATTTCTATATGTATTCTTAGGGTTTTTACAAAGGCGTTTGTTCAAATGCCGATCATAGCCTGATAAATATAATTATGTATTCCCGAAATCAGGGTGGAATTGTTAACCCTTGCTTTATCCATTTTTAAGAACTATGTTAATGAAAACTCATCTTTGTTTTTTAAAGCTGACGATAAATTGACCGGACTTCTTTCTGCTGATATGAACGCACAGTCCTTTGATCCGAGCGTCCTCCTTAGATAAAGTCTGCTAACAAACAATAGAAGTGGAATATCCAAATTGACCAATCAGAATCAAGTATTCTACTACGCTGTGTAACAAGTCCATTTTCAATGTTCAACTATGGTTTTGTAATGTTTTTTATTATTGCATTTTGGCTACTCTCGCCATCAGAACATCTGAATATTTCTGAGACAGTGATCAACACTTCCCCTCACGATGCCAGTGCTCTATTATCTAATCTTAAGAACATTTTATCGTCTCTTCCTGGAGACCCTCCTCCCTCCAGCTTCTATCTGTCGTCAGTTTCACCGTAGTCTGACATCTTTTACTTTGTCAACAGACATTCAAAAGACCTCCATTTGCTTGCTTTATATAAGTTGTAGTGTTTGCGTGCATGGAACGACAGCAGGAAAGTCATTTGGTCCAATTTCAAGATCATCTGAATGCCATAAGAGATTAATTGTCAAACATTACAGTCGGTGATGCAAACCACACAAAAGGAACTCAGTATATCACAAGCCTAATTAACTTCATCTCTCAAACAATTACAGCCGGCAGCAGCAGGAGATGTTGACCAGAGCTCATTATATCTAGTCCCATTTCCTCTGTTGAAAGAGATAATCTCATTATAGCTCAAATCTTCTTCAAAGTCACAGGCCAGTGCTTAGTCTTCCCACAATCTGAATGGACTATTTTGGTTTAAATGTACTCCATGAATGCGAACAGAACTGAATGAAAGTCACATAGCACCTCGGGAGAGCCACACACTAATGAAATAACACTCTCCCAACCCAACACCCAACACCCAACACCAGAGTCTCAATTGAAGAGCGTTTGTTGTGGTATGTCGGTGAAAGAAAAGCGTCACCATGATTCCCTCCACATGCTGGGTCATGGAGGGGAGAAACAGAGAAAAACAAACACCTCCTGGGGGTCTTTATTGGACACATGGAGGCAACTCTTTCATCCTAATAAGGACCAACTGTGCTCAGGAAGTTAGAGGAGAAAAGGTAAATCCAGCCAGAAATTGGTTATTTTCTCACTTAACCATTCTGAATGGACTAGGTATGCCTTTAAGTGCAAACAGGTATATTCTTTGTAGAATAAATAAAATAAAATACTGTGGTTTTGGGGCATCTGGAACATACAGTGTTACCTTAGCTAGGCTAACAGTTGCATCATGCTTGCAGTGTTTGTGCTAAGCTAGGCTAAATAATAATAATAATAATATATGGGATTTGTATAGCGCTTTTCCAAATGCTCAAAGACGCTTTACATAAAATCAGAACAGAAACAATACAAAGAAAACAAAAAAACAAAAACAGTAGTCCTAATCAAAGTGCGGAGTAAAAGGGGGGTCAGAGTTTGAAAGCTAGAGTGAATAAGTGAGTTTTGAGAGACTTTTTGAAGGATTCAAGAGTGCTGAATGTGTTAAATGTGTTAAATACAACCATTGCTTGACAAACAAATAAAAGGGAATATGAGAAACATAGAAAATAACTTCACAGTGATAACATATCTGTCTACAGGAATACTACAACATATTTGGTAGAAAGTGTTAAAAAGCATTTGGAGGCTCCACAGGGATTTATTTTAGTTATGTCACTAGAGTCAGCATTGGTGATTGATCTTTACCATGTATTGAAAGAACTGGATACTGGAACTGAACATGGCACCTATTTAATCCAATCAATTATAGCTTGTTTGCCATACGACAAAAAAGTTGTCTATCTTCCAGGTTTTCTTCCTGGTTATGAGGACAACTAAATATGTGGAGTGGAGTTTCTCCCACTGGCCCCACCCACAAGTTCCCACATGGCTTAAATGTTAAATTTAGGGAGGATGTGGCGCAGTGGATAGTGCGTTGGTGTTCGGATCAGGGGAGCACAGGTTCAAACCCCACTGCAGTCGTTGTGTCCCTGAGACACTTCCCCAAATGGCTCCTGTGGGGATTGCCCACAGTATTGAGTATGTAAGTCGCTTTGGATAAAAGCGTCTAACAAGTAACAAGTACCGTAATGTAATGTAATGTAATGTTAAATAGAAAAAGTAATAATTGAAATGAATGTGCAGTTCGAGGCATCCTAAAACCGTTAACAGTATAGCAGACGACTCTCTTATAATGGTGGTCAATGGGGACATTTTGTTTTTTGGGATGTAACATTTGAAGCAAGGCTGAGCAGCAACGATTTATCCACTACGTATGATGCATCCCTAGAATGTTGAAATGAGTGGGTGCATTGTGGGTATTGTAGGCGCCAGCTTGTGACATGAAGAAGAATGCCTGGTCCTGCTGCATTCATTCGGTGACCACATGTTTGAACTTTATTTTCCTGTAATAGCTTGAAGCCATATCACGAGTATATGCTAGGACACTGTAAATTACAGTAGGTGTGCATGCTCAAATGTTGTATGAATGAGTGTCCTTGAGTGTGTCTTATGACTCTCACTGATACATTATGCTTTTGTAACAGATTGGAGTTTTTGGGATGCATTGTTATCAATTGATATGCTTAAGTATGTCTCTATTTTAGCCATGGCTCAAAGTATTGACAGTTAAAATACATTGTGCTAAGGATTTCTTTTTCTTTTAATATACTTTACATAACCCCAGGAGGTTTTTATGCATTTGTCCTTCATACACGCTTTCAAAAATGTCCCAAATAAAAAAGAAATCCCAAATTAGGATCAATAAAGTACTTCTTATATTATCTTTCAAATGATTTATCTTATAGTACAAATATATGTGTAAATTAAGAATGAAACAAAACTCAACTGTGACAACACTGTATTGATAAACCAGTACAATGCCAAACGAGAAAGTGTCGTTAGAAATATATGAAGTAATTGAACCTCATAATGAACTCAGTGGATGCATATGGATTGGTATTAAAGCAGCGCTCTTGCTTGAAACTGAACTTCCTAGTCTTTCACGATGTCTCACCAGGTTTCCTTGTTCAGCGAGCAGATCTCTGAACACCTCCCTCCTCTGGATGTGATGCTCAGGGCTGGTTTTCAGTGACGTGGGCTGAGCGGCTGCAGGCTGGAGCTGCAGAGAGAGAGAGAGACATGGTCATAAACAAACATCAATTTAGGGCTAAGAATAACCCAAGAGCAAATCTGACTGACATGTACCTCTACCTTTTTACGTGACTGTATGTGCATTTAATATTTTTTATTTAAAATGAAATACTAATATGTACCAAGTTGTGATATGTCTACTGTAGTTTTATTGTTTATTGTTAATTATATTAATTTCTATGTACTATTACTGTGGATTCGGACCCCCTTGAAAACTAGATGGTGCATCTCAAGGGGTTTATCCTAATAAATACATTTCTATATATTCGTTTTGTAAAATATGTTGTTCAGGCAGGAGGATAAAAAATAGACCAAAAACACGCTTCTCTACTTTGTATTTTGCACTAGATGTTGTTTATGTGTAATTGCCTGTTTCACAATCATTAATATTAATTACGTGGAGTATGAAAGAGTGTCCTCGTCCTCACCTTGAGTTTCAGAGCGTTGAAGGTGTGTTTGGAGGAGCAGCTGAGCGGCCCCTCGGTGAGGAACTCCACAGGGTAGAGAAGCTCGTGTCCGTGGGCCCTCAGAGGACAACGCACCTCTAATGATGAGAGGCTGACCACACTGGGACCGTTATTCACCAACTGAGAGACAGACAGAATTTAAGTTACAATGAATCATTATTAAAAGTTTCATAAGGAGGCGTGTGGCGTAGTGGTCTAGTGCGTTGGTGTTTGGATCAGGGGGTCACAGGTTCAAACTCCTCTGCAGTCAGCATGTCGTTGTGTCCCTGAGACACTTCACCCCAAATTGCTCCTGTGGGGATTGTCCACAGTATTGAGTATGTAAGTGATAAAAGCGTGTAACAAGTAACATGTAATGTAATGTAATAAGGTCCGTTAATAGTCCCTTAAAAGATATGTTTACCACATTTATTACACGGCTTAGTTGAATACTTGGTTCTGATTGGTCAATTGGGACATCCCCTTGGTTGTTATTTTTCGCAAACAGACCGTTGCTAAGGATAACAGACCGTCGCTAAGGAGGATCAAAAAGTCAGAATGTTTTGAAAAAGTCAGAATTTTTTGAAAAAGTCTTAATTTTGAGAGAATTTTGAGATTTTTTGAAAAAGTCTGTATTTTGAGAAAAAGTACGAATTTTTAGAAAAGTCTGAATTTTGAGAAAAAGTCTGAATTTTGAGATTTTCAGAAAAAAGCCAACATTTTGAGAAAAAACTCAGTATTTTGTACATGACAGGATGTATGATAACCTAGAAGAACCGGTATTCCTCCATCTTGTGTCTGTGTAACTCCCTCTCTTGTATATCAGCATGTGAAGGACACTGTTCAGGAACTAGCTGATGCTCTGTATGTGATGACTACTTCCATTCTGGAGAGGATCAGAAATACATGGATCCTGAGATTGAAGCTCAAGCCAGTGATATTTTTCTAACAGTACTGATTATAAAACATTAATAAATGTGTGTGTACCTCGTAGACCTGCTGCAGCTCTGGGCCCACGTCCTGCTCGTCCCTCAGGCTCTGACTCACCTTCCAGTTTGGAGGAGGGAAGATCACTTTGTCTGGGCGGGAAACACTGCAACAGAGGAACACAGAGGGGTTGTTTTTGGGCAGGAACCACAATGATAAGCCAGATGATATAATGGTAATGTAATGATGTAGTTCACGAGGGTGTTGTAGCCTCACCCTTGCAGAATGACGTCAGCCTTGGCAGCCACTTCCAGCTCAAACTGCACCACCTCGCTCTCTGAGTTATTCACATTTTTACTATAACAGAGACACATAAAGTTATTAAACTGACAGAACAGTTCAAACTGTTATATTTCTGCATATGCAAAGAGAATGACCTTCCTGGATATGTTTAAGCGAGGTGCTGCTAGGTCTGTGTTGCTAACATCAGACAGTCAGCTAGCTGTTCCACCTCGTTTTGGGTCATTTTGCTAACTGTCTCTGTATTTAGGGATATATTTAATGGAATAAATAAGTAACAATCTCCTCATCTAACTGTGAATAAGTGTGTTATTCTCTCATATCAGTCCTCTGTCGGAAACACCTCCATTGGACTCCTTTGTTTACGTCTGCAAAAACATAATGACATCACTATGTAACACTCGCGTTTCTATTGGCTAGCGCTCCAACACATTGCCCAGCCTAGGAGTACATGCTCCTGTCTCTCTCTCCAAACTGGGGCATGTTGAGTGCCATCTACTTTGGATAATTTACCTAATTTGAATTACTACCACATAAAAGCCCACTTTAAAGAATCTGAAATACCTCTTAAGAACTTTAACTTATATCTCAACACGTAGAACTGGACTGTATAAGGAAGTGACTTACCTTCGTATTTGGAGTTCAAACTGAACAGTATTGTGAGTGTCCTTCAGTCTGGGTACAGTGAACCGAAGGCCGGCCCATAACTAGAAAATGAAGCACAGAAAATGTAAAAAAAAAATCCAAGAAACATGAAAACACATTGTAGGAGCCAATTAACACTGTGGTATAAAGGTAGGAACCAATGATTGTGGACTCAGGTTCAGCCAGAAAGCCAAACACAAGATTACAATCATTTGCTAAGGTATTGTGTGAACCGTAATATTATGTACGGTAAAAGGAAATAAATGGACTATATTTACTGTAGCTGCAAACTTTGTATCGGACTTTTTTTCACCTGGCAAGCTATGTGTGTGTCAATAACGTCAAGTTAGCGCATCCTCAGAGGCTTAAAGCGTTGGCTAAGCCTCTATACACACACTTTAAAAACTCAAAATCTTGCCAAGTATTTTTGTCTAATATCTAGTCAGAATATGTCTTTACACTCGATATAAGAAACTGAAGAGGTAACAATGCAGTAAGATATAGGGTCTTGTTTTTAGACGATGCAACTTCCAGACTCTAGAAAACATCTTATTTTGAGTTGTATCTCAAATTAAACAAGTTTCTTAAGCTGCTACAACAAATTCTTATTGGAAAATCACCAACTAACATCAGAAAACTGAAAACTTTTGAGCATTTCAGACTTGTTTTGTAACAACATTTACTGATCCTAGTAAGATAGAGTTCAAAATAAGTTTTACCAGCTAAAGATCTCATTTATCTAAATATCCTGTCTTATTCAAGAACTCTAACCAAGCAAATGTTCACTTGTTCTATTGTTTTTATCATTTTGGAGCAACATTCTTTCCAGTGCATGATATAAAAATGAAACGGATGTCTTGCATTATTCATCAATCATTTTCAACATTTCCTCGACAACTTAAATATCAAAAAATGGCCTCATTGGTGGTAATGAAAAGTTGTAATCTTATTATAAACAGATAATAAATAGTCAAACAGAGCCTTGACTCTTATTTTGATCCAAAGTATTCCCTTGCTTTTAGAAACCGATGCATTTCTCTCTGCCAGAACGAGTTGGCGTGACTTAATTGTTCTAAGAAACACAAACTGAAGGAGGCCAAAGCCAACATGTGGGCTCTTACGCTGGTTCCAGACTTCATGGGGTTTCCCAGGTCACACACCAGGTAGCGAGTCTGGTTTTCTGCCTCATAGCTGCACGTCAGCTGAGTCAAGCTCTGGAGAGGACACACAAACATCAAAAGCTCTGACATTAATATCACTGGAGAACTAAACACTGAGCCTAAAATAGTGCGCCTGTTGTTTTGTCAATGAGACGTATCAATATGTCAATGAGACGTTTTCTAAATTGGGGTTTTCTATTTTGTTGTGTTTTTACATCATGTATGAGGGTTTTCAGTCTGGGGCTATACGTATGTCTCGTGCTTTTACATTAGTTTCTTTTTGTCCTATCGGTTTTGTCTAAATGTATTTATACTGCTTTTTTATATATGTATTGATGTACAACACTTTGGTCAACTCTGTTGTTTTTAAATGTGCTATATCAATCCAGTTGGATTGGAATATGTTTCCTTTGACAGACAGGATTGTGTTTTTTGCCCCAACTTTAATCCAGTATTGTTATTTTTTTGGCATATTTCTCATGCTGTGTTTTTATTCCGCAATAATACTGTTGGGAATGTACACAATGTGGGTTTTCCACATCCGTTGCTTTCAAGAGCGAACATTCTGTACACTGTAATGAAAGCCATGTGTTTTTTGTACTTAGGATGGAGAAAATAATTTGTTCTGTGATTAAAATATAGTATTTTGTATCCGTATAGTTACCGATAGGGAGGATCAAAGTGTCTACAGTAAATGGTGTTTGGCACAATGTCAAGTGTACACATTGTGACAGCCAGGGAGTGAGGCCTCCATTGGAGCAGATTTTCAAAACAGTGGCAATACAGTGGTACTACAAGTTATGTTTTGGCCCAGAAATACATTTTTCCATTGACTTACATTTGGAAAGAGATGTCTGTTAATCAGCATCTTTGTTTTTTGCTAAATCATCTACCCAGTATTTGAATCGTTTGTATTTAAACATGCATTGTGTATTCTTCCGGGTTTTTGTCATTGCATTGAAACCAGGTTATGACACTATTTTGCCTCGATTGGTTAGGTTATTAGTCTTATTGTGTGACTTTGGTTAGTTTGTATTTACCAAATTACTGTGGAAGTCAAATGTGTCTTTTGTCATAGTACTCTGGTGGTTTTGAAGAAAGCATATTCTGTGCTGGTACCTGTTCTTCCAAACTGGGTGTGTGCCAACCAACCGCCATCTACTATAGTTAACACACTGACTATGGATAAACACCCAGAGATGGCAAAAGTACACACATCCTTTACTCAAGTAGAAGTACAGATACTCGTGTTTAAAAATACTCTGGTGAAAGTAGAAGTACTGACTAAACTACTTTACTCAAGTAAAAGTAAAGAAGTATGGGCTTTGAAATGTACTTAAGTAAAAAGTACCCATAACTACCATCTGTTTTAAAGAGTACCTGACCTCCCTTTATATTAATAGAACAATAATGTCATTGTTAGCTAATGAATGTTTCCATGCTGAACAACGGCAACATGACAACGTTTTCATTGGTCCCTCTTCTTTAGAGAAGACCAGGAAATGATGGATACACGGATCGTGTTCAAATCAATAGGCACGCAATGACTCTAAATAATAATGATCACGCCACCAAACACACATTCAAACTAAAGGAACCAGCCTGTTTGGAAAATGTAAGAAGTAGAAAGTACAGGTATTTGGGTTCAAAATGTAAGAAGTAGAAAGTACAGGTATTTGGGATCAAAATGTAAGAAGTCAAAGTAAAAAGTCGTCAGAAAAATAAGTAGTGGAGTAAAGTACTGATACCAGAAACATGTAGTTACTGTAAGTACAGAAACGAAGTATTTGTACTCCACCACTTCCCACCTCTGTAAGCACCTCATGCAACCCCACTTCAAAACACCTGAACCACCCTTTTAAAGGTCAAAGTGACCGTTGTGTGTCTCACCACGTTGTTGCGTGCGATCCCGCTGTAGTCGGCCTCTGGAGGAAGAACCACGTAGAGCTCGGCCTCGTACGCCCCTCCCTCTCCTTCGTTCCTGGCATTGAACGTCAGACTCAAGGAGTTTTCATCGCCCAGGTAGACCTCAGCTCTGTCACTGAGAGACGAGAACCACAGCAAGGTTGTTGACAAAAAATGAAATAATTACCTTTTCAGCATGTTGGAAAATTGCTGAACACACAGCGTAGAAAAGTGAGTTCCAAAACCAGAAATCCTAGAAAATAAACAGTGAGCAGTTCGAGAACTTTGTCAACACCCCTAATACATGATGGCTTTCTGTCTTTTTTATTCTTTCATATCCATTATTTGAGAACTCACTTGAAAAAAGACCTTTCGAAACCGTTTAAATAGTCAAGATAACAACCTTTTCCATTGCAGCAACAATTCGTCAGTTGCACATTTTAGTTTGAACGTTTGTGTAGTAGTTGCTTCAGAGACATTCACACACATTCATGGTCCTCAGATGGTCTTTTTCTTTAAAAACTAACATCTACAAGATGAATCGCCACACATTTTGTACAGATATTCATGTCTATAACCCCTTAGCAATCCTTGACTTTTCCTTGAGTGATGATGCTCCCTCTTGTTGACTTTGCCCTTTAAAAGTAAACAAAGTCAAAGAATAAGCGATCAAATGTTGAAAACGTCACGAAAACTCAATTTAGTACATAATACTTATATGCAAACACAGTCTCACGGCATTTCGTGTTATAGTCACGAAATTAATCTATTGATTCGTGTTCACCAACACGATTTCGCCATTTTTTTCGTGTCACACAGAACGATTTTAAAAGCAATGTAAATAATAACAAATTATAAGGAAAAAGACATTTAAAAAAATACAGATTTAAGTATTCTGACACAGAACGATTTTAGAAGCAATGTATTTATATTGGTAGTATGTTTTGTGCCTGCACCAAATAATAACAAATTAGAAGGAAAAAAAGATGACAAAAAATACAGATGTCAGTATTCTGAGGCTCTGAGCCATTTCTTTTCCTCACTGACGGCAAAAAAACTCAGACATTATACAATTTAAAATAAAAGGGATAGGGTTAGGCTTAGGGTAAGATATTGAGTAAGAACATGTTTTTATGAACCACACAGCTTCTGGTCTTCCAAGACCCGACCGGACAAAAAGACGTGTTGCAGGCACGAAACATACTACCAATAGAAATACATTGCATTTAAAATCGTTCTGTGTGACACGAAAAAAATGCGAAAATCATGTTGGTGAACATGAATCAATAGATTAAATTAATTTCGTGACTATAACACGAAATGCCGTGAGACTGGGTTGTATATGCTAACATGCTAAGCTAAGAAGGCGAACATGGTAAAAATACCTGCTAAACGTCAGTATGATTACGGACATGTTAGCATGCTGACATTAGCATTTAGCTCAAAGCTACACCATGCTAAATAACAGCCTTATAGAGCCTGCATTTGTGCTTGGCTGTAGACTCTTGTGTTTTTCTAAAGTTGAATTCCCCAAGAGTATCTATTACAAAGCCATTATTTTTCTTCAGTCGTGAAAAGGCCTTTTTTTAATCGTACGCCATCCACATTACTACCATTTAAAGCCCTTATTTGCTGGCTTGGTTTAGTTTGAGCTACCTTTGCTGCCGTGTTCATTTGAAGTGTTTCGGTGCAGGGCATGACCAAAATGCCAGAGAAGCAATTGTAAAACGTAATGAAAAGCAGGGACGTGAATTCCTTTCCAGACAATGCTTCTCTGTTTCTAGAAAGTCCCCACAGGCCATGTTCTCCGGGCATATCTGTCCATGACTGACCTGGGAAATGACCCAAATCTGATCACTGTGATTTGTCTCAGGAAACCGACCCCCACCTTCTTCTGCATGTTCACAGTGACGCCTGTGTGCAAACAGCGAAGTGATAAATCCTCTTGACACTCTCACACTGCAGCCCTCCCCCAAAAGCTTCACTTTGTGGCAGTGAATTCATGTTTCTATTGAGCAGGAGGAGGAGAAAGGGAGTCTGGCGGAGGGTCAGCATCAGGGTTCTTCTTTCACTCTCCGTTTCCTCCTCCCCTCCCCCCGTCTTCAGAGGGTCTGGACGCAGTGACCCCTCGCTAGGTAAGACAACCACCAGATGATCTTAATTAAGCCTGGGCAAGTTTAGCGAATGCAGAGGAAGCAAACACTGATACTCTAACGCCAACACTCAGCAGATGCTAAGAAGAGAAATCCTCAGAGATGTTAACAGCGCTTTCATCAGGCGTTTCAATCTTTGGGAGAGATGTCACAGTGGAGGACAAATCTCTTAAAAGCATAATTGGATCCAGAAGATACAACTTAAACACCGGGGCTGTGAATGTTAAACATCTTGCAGATTCTTAGAGAACAAGAGAAAGTGCTGTGTCTCGTAGAATGTCGGTGAATTCAGGGAAAAATGCTGAATCATTCGAGTCCCGTGGCACAAATAACAAATGCAGATATTTGAGTTTTTTGTGGGAGACTTTCGCTCTTGATTGCATTTCTGCAGCTAAGAGAAATCACATGGTGATATAATGCAAAACACTCCTCATAACAGAGCAGCCTGGGAGGAGACAGTCTGAGTTTTCTTTTGTGAACGGACCGAGACACTGCCAAGTATTTGGCCGACGTCCATTCATGAACAAGGATACACGATTAAAAAACATGTTTGAATCCTTCCTCTTAATCTGTACTCCAGTGAAAGCATGTTATGAGCTTTGAACTGTCTTCCAGTGTCTTACAGTCAATAAATCAAGTTTATCCCTTTGAAATATCATTCATATTGTTTTCTTTGATGTTTGATCTGAACTTTATTAACAGATATTTGAATAATAATCTGTAGGCAACTGTGTCTGTAGTCTATCCTTGAGGCTATAATAAAAATACTTTGAATGCACTTAAAGCCAAATAAAACATCTTGAAATATGACTTTTTTAAATATATTTTAAGCTTTTATTTATTGTGGAAGCTATAAGAATCGTTGGATAACATGGAAGCATTTAGAGAAAAGTTTATGGTGTTGCCCATGTGCCAATACCTCCTGATGCGTGTACACATGATACATCAAACGTGCTAACTAAAAGCTAATCCATAGCACTTCACAGGGTACCTCTATCTAGAAACTAACAACTTTTTAAGATTGACATCCAGCCTTCCTTTATCTTCTAACTTTGGTGAGTGTCCTAAAAAAAAAAGGACTTTGAGGAGGTGATGCTACAGCGCAGAGATTGCGTTTTTGATTGTGCACTCATTTACTTAAGAGCCCTTTAAAACCACTGATAACTAGTGTGACCTTGTAACCTGATGGGCAACTTGATTAAACAAATGAAAAAAACCTTGTGGTCTATCCTCCCCAGCAGCAAACAGCACATGCACAAAGTTAGCAACTAGCATGTGCACATAGTGAAGCATTTAGCTGCTAAAGATGCAGATATTTCCCTCGACAGTTGATGGAGACCAAAAACAGAGCTATAATGAGAGTTAATATTGGTCTTACTTTCACCTCCCACACACTCCCCCCCCCCTGCCTGAAACACCACCATTAGACTCCTTTGTTTACCTCCTGAACAAAGTGTCATCACTATGTAACACTTGCGCTACTACTGGCTAGCGCTCCAACACATTGTACGTGATAGGCTAAGCAGCGGGACATCTCTAAGCGGTTGACCAATCACAACAGAGCCGGCCAGCTAACCAATCAGAGCAGACTGGGCTCTGGTTTCAGACAGAGGGTGAAAAGAGGTGCTGCAGCACAGGCAGTATGAGAAAAATAAAGAGCTTTTTGAACATTAAAGCGTGTAAAAATCTCACAGAAGACAAAATACAATTATGAACCTGAAAAGGAGCAGAATAGGGCTGTTTTAAACCGTAGGGCCATTTGCTGTGGAATAATACTGAGTGTGGTTCCAATAAGTGCCGGTGTTTACTTTGTCTATTGAGCCAAGACTGCTAATGCTAACCATGCAGCTCTTCTAGCGTTCTTTCCACACTAACCAAAAGCATAAAATGCATCACTTCAGAGGAGGTGTTTCAAATGGCAAACAGAAGAGCTTTCCTCATTATTCTAAAGTTATGCTTTTCTTTTCAGTCGCAGAAGGAAAAACAATCGAAGCAGCCTCGCAAAGCATGACTGGAGGGTTTTAAGTTTTTGTTTGTTGAATCAGGTAAAGTAATAGAACCGTGACTTCCTCTCACCCATAAACAGCCAGCTTGAGGTCAGGGACGCAGATGTTGTCGTCTCCACAATCCAGTTGAATCTGGGCCTGAGAGAGAGAGAAGGACAGACATAAATGGAGGGGAACGAGGGATGAACGAGGCATGGATATGAAGGGTGAAATGGAGAGAAATATCCAGGGTTATTGGGAGAGGGAGAAGCTTTTGAGGAAGTGGATGTTTACAGGAGCCGGCACACCAGATTCATGATTTAATGAAAGGATAAGAGAGGATATAGACTATACATCTCCTCCACATATGAACAAAACTGTACCAATATTTGCAACAACCAGATGCCAGGAGGTTGTGTGGAAGCTGCATCCTTTCATGTTTGGAAGGATAAAAGTAATAAGTGAGCTTTACATGTGGGGAGGGACAATAGAGAAAACATGGTGAAGGTTTTCGGAGAATGAAAGAGACGATGAATTCCATCTAAACAAGCAGTACATTTTTGCGGGAAAAAAGCCTCGATCACAAAGAGTGAAAACCTCACATTTCAAACGGAGAATATAGGGCTTAATCTGCATTTTTTTTAAATCCGTCGACAGATGAGTTAAAAACCACAGCAGAAGATAAATGTGATTGGATTTGGCGGCATTGTCTTTCCCAGTGTTGAAGCTTCAGCTTATTCTCCTTCTCTGTCTCCACTATTTCTCTCATATTGTCATTGTTGCCGTGCCCTCATCTCTCCAACATATGGGAGACATTAGATTCCCGAAGAATGCAACAGAGAGCAGAGCATCAGCCTGGCAATAGTTAACAGTGTCTCAGCGGAGATTCACATCCAGTGCAGGACTCACGGGGCTATCGGTCATTTAACACCAAACAGACACGAGCACACACTCTCTCTCAGATCAAGTGATGACTCCCAACTTATCTCCTCTTCAAACCACTTTCATCTCCTCATCTTCCTATACGTTTGATCCATGGGGATTCACTGTCCTGTTGGTCAACTTTGAGGATATGAAAAGATGAAAACAATGGAATGATATGGTATTTCGTGACAAAACCTGTAAAAGGCTTGTAGCAATGTCAGGAAAGAAAATAAAGGTCCCCAAAAAACACGTTGAACAATATCATATTTAAGGAAAATTGTCAACTTCTGTACAGAAACATCCAAATAATAAACTTCAATAAATACAGCGACCCTTTTACCCTCTCTTCCAGACACCTTACAGGAGAACAGCGGATTATATTCACTATGAGTGTCGCCAACAAGGTGACCCAACTAATCCAACCCATAATTGATCACAAAATGATAAACAATAATGATATAAACAAAGCTAATACTAAAATATGAACAATCACTTCAGTCGCTTTAAAGAAAACATTGGACCTCATTCAAAAACCACGGGTATAAACAAGTTTGCCCTTTATCTGCACATACAAGTGATTTAAGAGAATTGGCCTCCCCCAACTAAGGACACCATTTGTGTTGTGTTTTTGTTGGTTATTTACAAAAGCATGACTTGATGACATTTCTATAAATCGAACTCGCCCACATACTAAGTAAAACATGTCGCCTGCAACAAGCTTAAGACAATTTTAGGGGCGTCGATTACATCTATCAAATCTCCCAAACACCTTATGAGAAGAATTATTGTCAAATAGGACACTTCTGACAGAAAAACTAGATTCTACACTGAACTACTTTCATGTGGAGAAATAACAGGATTCGTTGAAAGATGGTTGTATTCATATTAAGTCCACATTTCTCTCTGGTAAAGCTTCAAACCTAGTGTGTGTGCATATTGAATCCTGGGCAGAAAAGGCAGACTCAGGAGCCCAGGATGTCTCTATACAATGCAGCAGGGATTGATAGCTCAAAAGAGTAAAAGGAGATGCATGTGAGACAAAATGTCCAATTCAGAGGACATTGGTCAATGGGCTGGGTGTCATTAATATAGAGAGGCAATGACAGAACATAAAACACATTACATTGCTATAAGTGGAGGAGCATTAATGGGATTAGACATTATTAAAATCTTACGCAGCATCATGTTAACTTTAGGTGTGGTTAGACGTTGGCCTGTTGCTCTACGACCACACCCAGTAATGACTAACATTGCACTGCAGTCATTACATCACTGCCACAATATTAAAATAACAACTCAAGCAGCAAAACCACACCACTCAGCTGTGGTTCACTTTCTTTAATCCTTTATTTTCTCGACTGATTACGTCGTAATGGGATAGAAAAAGTGAAATGTAGTCTTTTCAAATCTTTGTACACAAGAGACAGCATGAAGCCTAGTGTTACTCTATGAGTCTTTCTGAGTCTTGAGTCTTTCACAAGGGAGTTCTGTTTGTTGTTTTACGTATTGAGCCTTCACATAAAGCAATTTTCTACCATTGTCTGTCCTTCAATTGGGTCCTACCTGCTCGGGTCATCATTGACAGAAGAATACAACACAGAAAAACACAGACAGATCGAGACACATCCACAAAATAGCTTTCCCATTCATCGTCTTTTAGGCAATTCCTTAACCTCTTAAGCCCTGAGCCTGTTTTTCAGGTCTCAGGCTTGAAAATGACATTCCCAGAACAAATGACCATATCTTCCGTTCTAAAAGGGTTAAATTAATAATCTTTATTCTCAAAGTAATGATAAACCTGTGAGTTGGATGTAGAAAAGTCAGAATCAATATAGTGTAGTGCCGAGAGATAGGAGTCGGAGGCGGTGCATCGAAGGTGCAAATGGGAACTTTAATGAGCAGCAGAAACGGACATGTTGTCGGCCCAGGAAGAAGAGAAAGAAGCCAGGAGGGCACACAATAAATACTGTCAGCAACACATATGTCCGTGCGGAAACAATACCCCCCCACCTGTAGTTCCATGAGTGAATTATGTACATGAGTAAATGAGTGATCACTACACAAGCCCCCCCAGAATTCAACCATGGACACAATCCTCGCGTCCGGGAGGAAGCACCACAGGGGCCGAGGAGGGCGGGGCCGCAGAAAGCAGGGTCGCTTAGTTGCGACGTGGGGACGGGCGTGAATATCCGTGTGTGGGCGACATCCGAAGCTGCTGCCGAGGCGAAGGAAGAGGCCAGACAGGGTCCCGAAGCGCGCCACCCACGGGCCGATGAAGGCATGGGCGACGTCCGAAACCGTAGAGTCAAGGCGAGACGGGGTCCAGAAGCGCGCCACCCACGGGCCGAAGAAGGCATGGGCTACGTCCGAAGCCGCCGTCGAGGTGGTGAAAAAGCGAGAGGGTCCACACAAGGCCGACCAGACAAGGTCGAACCTCCTCTCAGGCACCAGAAAAAAACTCGAAAGGGTCGTCCTGTCCACGATTAAAAACAGGTGGGCGAAAAAGCGAGAGGGTCCACACGAGGCCGACCAGACTTGATCGAACCTCCTCTCCGGCACCAAAAAAAAAAGAAAAAAAAAAAGGGGGCTAACAGTCGGATGTCGTTAGCCGCTAGCTGCTAGTCGCCAGCTGTCCCTTAGCCGTTAGCGAGCGCAGCCGGACATGCAGCCGCATGTCCCGAATAAACCAGGCATCGTCGTGTATCGGCTCCATGGAAGGCTTGCTGTCCCCCAGTGCCGAAAAGCCGTGGAAATGGCGAGCGTCGTCCGCGGCCATTCCGGAGGGCGCACCGAGCCACAGTCCGTGTGCACGTGGCAGCCATGGACGTCCCCAAAAATCTCCGGCATTTCGAGAAAAACAGTGTCTGTTTTTTGCCGTGTTCGGTTCAGTCTCGGATCCTTCGCGAGACTTATGTCAGGGTCACCAATGTAGTGCCGAGAGATAGGAGTCGGAGGCGGTGCATCGAAGGTGCAAATGGGAACTTTAATGAGCAGCAGAAACGGACATGTTGTCGGGTCGCAGCCCAGGAAGAAGAGAAAGAAGCCAGGAGGGCACACAATAAATACTGTCAGCAACACATATGTCTGTGCGGAAACAATACCCCCCCACCTGTAGTTCCATGAGTGAATTATGTACATGAGTAAATGAGTGATCACTACAATAGATGTTTTTTATTTTAAAGAAAATTCTGATTTTACATAGTAAAAAACTGTAAATTATAGTGTCCGTCCAAAAATTCTTTTTTACTTATAGTGAAAACTACCCTTGGATGATGGGTTAGTAGACTAAAGGTTTTAGGAATCTTAAGTACAACATATAATAAGTACCCTGTATCAAGATTGATGCAAAACAAGTGAAATTTGACCTTTTTAGAGAGATTTAGCCAAAAAACCCCACTTCTGGGGTCATTTGGGTGGATTTGACCTATCTCTGGCCCCCCTTGCTCGATTTTGATGAATGAAATCTCTTTATAACCGCTAGAGCCAATGGAATCGAGGGAAAGTTATATACACACCAAAACGTTGACAAATAAGGAGTGAGAGTGACGCGTTACCAAAACCGGAAGCTGCATACACTCTGGTGGCTACCATTAGCAGCTAACTTTTCCGCTCCGATTTCTACATAAAAAATGGAATTATGGATTATAAATAATTTTTTCAAAGGCACAGGTACATTATCAACCTATGGATCAACAGTTGTAGCATTTTCTTTTTTCGTTTTAATGCCATTGAACACGTCTTTTGACCTAATTGACAGCTACGGTGAGACGATCTGCCGTAAATGCTCCGTAAAGGTACGTGTTGTGATGTCTGTGTTTGCTTCCCCTGTCGCAAGTTCGGATCGCTCAGTGATGATACTATACCTAAATAATATGTGGAGTCTCAGCTTTAATCGGCTATATTGTATGTGCAGCTACGATAAGTAATAAGGGTATTTTTATCTTGAATTGTGTGCCGCAGTGCATTAGAATTGTTTTGTTTTGGTAAAAATGGTTCATATCTTCAGTTAGCTGAGATTCTTCCCGTTAATCTGGTGCTACACATTAATAGTTTGATAAATGTTAAGAAGCCCTGAGACATTATCTCGAAAAAAAAACGGTGGGAGGGGTCCAATGGGGGGACCGCCGTGCTTAAGAGGTTAATATTTAATGGCATCACACCTTTGAGATTTAGCGGTGTTTACACGAGAACGAAACAGGTTGTATCTGCTACTTTTCTCTCGCGTATAGCCCGTTCGTTCACACAAGGCCGTAACGGAACCGCGGAAACGGACCCCGCAAACGATAACGCGTCCAACGGTGGATAGATCTGCAACCGGAACGCTCTGGGGGCCAAACGGCTCAGTGTGTACGCCCTATACGATCATTTCCTGATAATGATGAAGCCATAGCCCCACCTCTGCTGCTCACTGCTGTAGCATGGTCAGTAGCTACTGTCAGTAGCTACTGCTAGTGCTACTGCTACTGACCATGCTGCAGATGTTAGTGCAAAATCTACAGCTCGACCATGCTACAGATGTTAGTGCAAAATCTACAGCTCCTCTACCACAACCATCAGCAACAAGTGGACATGGAGAATTACATGAACTACATGTTGCTAAATCCACCGCGGGGCATAAACAGAAGGGCAACCATGGCAACCATGCTCGGGGGTCTTCTTCGCTGCTTTTGGTGTATTTTGTGGCAGAAGTACAGCGACACTTACAGGCCCGGCATATATACTACAGCGTTTCCAGTGGTCTCGTGTGAACGGACACGTTAAATGAGCCGAATGCGTGTGAACGGAAGACTTTTTTGATAACGAATTCTGTCCGTTTGCGTTTGCGCTCCCGTGTATGGGGTCTTACTTCTCTAGTTTCTGTATTTGATAGAGAGTAGTTAATGTTCACAAATATTGAAAAAGGTTTCCCAGGACATGTGGAAATATATGGAAAAGCCCTATTGTTTCCCTAGGTTTTTGTGCATGTAAATGGTCCCAAAGTTCCCTCAAAAGCAAGTTTCTCTTCCATTGTCAGCACAGGCAGTATGAGAGAAGAGCTTTTTGAACATTAAAGCATGGAGACATGTCACAGTAGAGACACTAAATACAGATATGAACCTGGAAATGAGTATAATTACATAAGAAGAAGGGAGAACACCAAGGGGTGAATTGTTTAGTGTCCTTTAAGGTTTCAAGGCTGAAAACACTTGGTTGTTTTCTGTTAAAAACAAGTACATGACTGCACACTCACGCACCCACTTTACCTTGTATCACTCACATAAACATGTGCACGTTTCCAGGCTGTGTCTCTGGTGGAGGAGACCGCTGGCAACATACATAAACAAACCACAACCAGATGTGTGTGAGTGGAGCGCCGCCCAAACCCAGACGGAGCTGTCAGTCCTCCCTCTGTGTTTCTGCACAGCCATGCCTCTCCGCTCCTCTATAAACCTTCCAACTCTTCATGGAGGAGAGAAAACACAATGGAGACCTGATTCCTGACTCCTGAGATATTTATTTCGTATTTTATTATACATGTTGCATTGTTGGAGGAGCTCAGGTCAGAAGAATTTCATTGCCATTTCTACACCAAAAAACTGGTTCATGCACTTGTCTTCTCAAGACTAGATTATTGCAATGCACTCCTCTCCGGTCTCCCAGCCAAATCCATCAACCGCCTGCAACTTGTCCAGAACAGTACAGCCAGAGTTCTCACCGGTGCAAAAAGGTCCGCACACATAACCCTCATACTTGCACAACTACACTGGCTCTATGTCCACTACAGGATCCAGTTTAAGGTTCTGCTCCTGACTTACAAAGCCCTGAATGGACAAAGCCCAAAATACCTCTGTGACCTCATCCGTACCCAGACATCTACCTGCTCTCTCCGCTCCAGCCACGCTCCTGTTCTTTACATCCCCCGCACACGTCTCCAAACAATGGGAGACCGAGCCTTCTGCTCATTCGCCCCGCGCCTCTGGAACTCCCTCCCAGATCAGCTGAGATCTGCCCCTTCCACCGAGGTCTTCAAAACCGGCCTTAAGACCCTCTTCTTTCGGCAGGCCTTCCAATAAACTTTGAGCATGGTACACCTGGAGTACTGCCATTTTTTCTTTTTTTTTTTTTAATCTCTCAAATTTGATCAGTGTCCTTTGTTGTGAAGCGCTTCGAGATTTGTCTTGGCAGATGAGAAGCGCTATATAAATTAAATGTATTATTATTATTATTATTACTGTAGCTTTGTGCATATGTCAATAAAACCTTTGAATCTTGAATCCTTTACTTGAGTAAAAGTACAACAAATATGGTGTTAAAATACTCCATTACAAGTTAATGTACTGATTTCAAAAGTGCAAAAGTATAAGCATCAAAATATACTTAAAATGCAAAAAGGAAAAGTAGTCATGTTGCACATATCAGCTAAATGTACTACAAAAATCAAAAGTAGAAGTATTTGTTGTACTGAATTTGTCTTGTTTTATTATTATTATTTATTATATGTTCATGTTTTTATACATGTAAGAGCATTTTAGTACTAGTTCTAGTTTGTCAATGTGGACCAAATTAAGATACTAGAAATACTGTGATTAGTAGTACAGTACTGCATTATACCATATCAACATATCATGTGTTTTTATATGTAAAAAGTACCTATGGTGAAGTACAAAGTATGATATTTGCCTCTGAAAAGTAGTGGAGTAGAAGTTTAAAGCAGCGTTTTATGGGAATACTCAAGTACAGTACATCAAAAGGTAGAATACTTAAGTAAATATACTTTCCATTACTGATCTCAACCTCTTACCATGTGGGCTTCGGCTCTATAGGGGGCCTTTACGATTGATGTCAGTTTTAATATGGCCGCCTGTAACCTCAGCCTTTGCCATTTAAATAAATCCCCTGCATGCAAACTGTAAACATTGGGACATGTGCTGTGGTGTAGAGGCTGAAGCTAAAGTGTGTGTGAGCGCCGTTTGTTCACGATTTTAAATAGTTTGGTACCGTTTTGTAAAAGAAAGGTCATGACGCCATCTGTTCAGCTCTCTCTCTCCACTGGTGAGCGTTGTGGTGACTCTCTGCTTAGTTCATAACATGCAAGGCGTGCGGAAATACAAGTGTTGTGTGGTTCAGACGCTCAGTGTGGTGATGTAGAATATAGATTCAGTGTATGACTCTACACAGACACACACTCAATTTTGGATTTCTCAACCTGGATGTATTTTTTTAGATACATTTGTTACACATCATGTTTAAAGGGGCCCCATTATTCTAATTTTCAGGTTCATATTTGTATTGTGTGCCTCTACTGTGATATGCCATTTAAGCCCCGAGCCTGTTTTTCAGGCCTCAGGCTCGAAAATGACATTCCCAGAACAATTGACTATATTTTCACTTCTAAAAGGGTTAAATTAATAATCTTTTTTCTCAAAGCAATGATAAACCTGTGAGTTGGATGTAGAAAAGTCAGAATCAATATAGATGTTTTTTATTTTAAAGTAAACTCAGATTGAACATATGTAAAAAAATGTAAATAACATTACTTATAGTGAAAACCACCCTTGAATGATGGGATCAGGGACTAAAAGCTTTAGGAATCCAAACTGTAACATATAATAAGTACCCTGTATTAAGATTGATGCAAAACAAGTGACATGTGACCTTTTTAGAGAGGTTTAGAAAAAAGAAACCACTTCTGGGGTCATTTGGGTGGATTTGCCATATATCTGACCATTTTGATGATTGACACCTCTTTTTAACCGTTAGAGCCAATAGAATCGAGGGGAAGTCCCTAAAATCCATCTAAACATTACCCATTGGTGAATGAGTGATGCACAGCCAGAATGCCCTGGAACAGGAAGCTGCGATACACTCTCGTAGCTATCATAGCAGCTATGAAAACTCCGTTATTGACATAAAAATGGAATGATGGATTATCAGTAATCATTTCAAAGTGACACAGACACATTGGATTAACCTATGGATTAACCTTCAGCAGCGTTTTTATCGTTTTAATGCCATTGAACACAACTTTTGATCAGAAACAGCAACGGTAAGACTTATTTTCCGATGTGGTCCCGTAAAGCTAATTTTGTTGTTGTTGTTGTTTGTTGTAATTTAGCCGCGAGTTCTGATTGCTCAGTGATGATACTTGTAATGTACGATAAGTAATAAGGGTATTTTAACGTGAGTTCTGTGCTAAGTGTGTTAGCATTATTTCGCTCAGGGCTAACTCAGAGCCTTTGTTATTACCCTTATGTTTCGTTTTGCTAAAAATGGTTAATATTGTCTGATAGCTGAGTTTCTTCCCGTTAAGTGGATATGACACATTCATAGTTTATTCAATGTTAAGAAGCCCTCAGACGCTGTTTCTTGCAAGATGTTGCGTTTTGCCCCGGTACAGACCATTTACATGCACAAAAACCTAGGAAAAAAAAACCAAATGCCTAAACTAGAATTTCCATATCATTTTTCATGGCCTGGGAAACCTTTTTCAATATCTGGGAACATGAACTACTCTCTATCAAATACAGAAACTAGAGAAGGAAGTCTCAAAGGTGTTATGCCATTAAGTAAAGCATGGAATTGCCTCATAGACAATGAATGGGAAAGCTACTTTGTGGATGTGTCACGATCTGTCAGTTTTCATGTTTTATTTACATGCACAAAAAACCTATAGAACACACTAAAGGAAAGGGGAAACCCCAAATGCATAATAGGGCCTCTTTAAAATTACTGAAGCTTTCAACTATGCCATGAAATAAACCTTAATGAAATGTATTTAAAAATGTTGGAGCCCACTGAATACATGACGTAACGTACTGCGTGACCCTCATTGTGGCATTGGTTTTACGAGGTACTTTGCATCATGAGTTAATATACATACCTTCTGCTCTATTCGCTGCTCCGTCTCATAATTCAGGATTGGTCGGAGGCCATGCTGGTCCTCCGGGGCCTCGGGATCCAGACTGAAGTTCAGGCTGATGAAAATGGGAGAGAGTTTATCCCGAAACTCCTCTTCCCCCTGCACACAGAGAGAGAGATGCAACCATGTGAGATATTGATGTGAAAAATCGCCAAGTTAGTCCTTTTTCTGGTGTATTTATATCTAAAAGAGGCAGGAACTTCGGAAAATATGGTTAGAAATGTGTCATCATTTTGGGATTTCCAACATTTTAGTTACTTTTATTATGAAACCCTCCTTTAAAAACATTTAGAAGAAAAATATTGATGGATTAAACAAAATCAGAAGCAGATGTTACAGTCACTATTGGCCTATATGTAGTATTAAAGAAACCCTATTATGCTTTTGGGGTTTTATCTTTCCTGTGGTGTGTTACATGTAAGTAGGTTTTTGTGACTACTTTTGTTTACTTCCAGAACATAGTGACATCACTGTGGAACACTCTCAGAGGACTCTTTAAAGTAGAGACACTACATACTAATATACACCTGAACATCAACAGGAGAGGACTCTTTAAAGTAGAGACACTACATACTGATATACACCTGAACATCAGCAGGAGAGGACTCTTTAAAGTAGAGACACTACATACTGATATACACCTGAACATCAGCAGGAGAGGACTCTTTAAAGTAGAAACACTACATACTGATATACACCTGAACATCAGCAGGAGAGGACTCTTTAAAGTAGAGACACTACATACTGATATACACCTGAACATCAGCAGGAGAGGACTCTTTAAAGTAGAGACACTACATACTGATATACACCTGAACATCAGCAGGAGAGGACTCTTTAAAGTAGAGACATTACTGATATACACCTGAACATCAGCAGGAGAGGACTCTTTAAAGTAGAGACACTACATACTGATATACACCTGGACATCAGCAGGAGAGGACTCTTTAAAGTAGAGACACTACATACTGATATACACTTGAACATCAGCAGGAGAGGACTCTTTAAAGTAGAGACACTACAAACTGATATACACCTGAACATCAGCAGGAGAGGACTCTTTAAAGTAGAGACACTACATACTGATATACACCTGAACATCAGCAGGAGAGGACTCTTTAAAGTAGAGACATTACTGATATACACCTGAACATCAGCAGGAGAGGACTCTTTAAAGTAGAGACACTACATACTGATATACACCTGGACATCAGCAGGAGAGGACTCTTTAAAGTAGAGACACTACATACTGATATACACCTGAACATCAGCAGGAGAGGACTCTTTAAAGTAGAGACACTACAAACTGATATACACCTGAACATCAGCAGGAGATGACTCTTTAAAGTAGAGACACTACATACTGATATACACCTGAACATCAGCAGGAGAGGACTCTTTAAAGTAGAGACACTACATACTGATATACACCTGAACATCATCAGGAGAGAACTCTTTAAAGTAGAGACACTAAATACTGATATACACCTGAACATCAGCAGGAGAGGATGGGCCTTTTTAAATACTGTTTAAACAACAACAATGGTGTGGCCCCTTTAAAGGAACACATGGTGTATAAACAGTCTGACAAATGAGGGGATGTTGGTGCATTTCTACTCAAAACATCTCTCATCCCGTCAAAGAGTAAAGTGCTCCGATCATTATGTCGTTACAATGAGCGTCTACACATATGACCTAAGTGTTTTTGGCAGGCATTTACTTTGATCAGGTCACCGTTGAGTGATGAGAAGATTGGTACTGTACCAGTTTCACCTCAAATATCACTTCAAACAGCAACTTCAAACCCTGTCTATTAGGAAAGGACTTCACCCTGCCAGCGGGTTAACTACAGTCACCTGGGGCTGCAGGTGCAACACAGTCACTGATTAGATGGGGCCGGGAATAACAAGCGGAACATTTGTGAAAGATAAATAAGGCATTTTGAGAGGCTTGCGATGATTGGCCTGAAAGAAAAGTTACAATAACCTAAAGTTCATGAACAATCTGTCTAGTTTTCTACGTCAGTGCAGTGCATTGCTAAGGCTACATCGACGAAAAGCAATGGGATTTTTCCATTTGATGTGATTTCGTGTCACCATCGCTAGGCTAAAGGTGGCTTATGATGACATTTAGTAGTTTATTTACTCACTTGTTAGCAACCGCTCTTTAAAGACACATAGAAGCTTTGGACATTCATGAAAGAAGGAGTATTTACTGACGTATTTTAAACAAAGAATCTCTTCAGCTTGTGTTAGACACAGACCTTTTCTTAGGCTTCTAACGTTAGACTTGGAGACTAAAATGTGAACTCATTCTAAACTCATTCCTGCACCACTCTATACGGGTCATAGTAGGTTTAAAACATGTCAAAAGAAGCTGGGAGAAGGGGGTTAATATTGTGGGGAAAACCTCAGAATTCTTCAGATAATATTCTTTACAAATCTTTTTAGGTTGAAGTGGAAAACAAAAAACAATATTTAAAAATCACACTTTAGCGAAGAAGAAATCTGAAATTCTCTAAGGTGCTACAAAAAGACATTACATATCCCTGAGAGGCAGCTATTTGACTGTATACATACTGAAGTAGGTTTAACAACATGTAAAAAGAAGCTGGGGGAGGGGGACAATATTGTGAGGAAAACCTTTTTCAAAAATTGTGTTTGAGGTTTAAGCGAAAACTTAAAATATATTTAAAAATCTCACTTTAGCGAGAACAAATCTGAAATTCTCTAAGGTGCTACAAAAACACAGTTTATATCCCTGAGAAGCAGCTCTGTGACTGACCCTCAGATAGATCTTGGTCTCGTGGCACGAGCGTTCTCCGTTCTCCAGGCTGAGGGTCTTCAGCAGAAAGGGCTGCTGGCTGTCCAGGAACAAAGTCCTCCTGATGGACTCCTTCTGGCTCAGCTTCACGCTGTCCAGCTGGACCTCCACCACAAAGCCTTGGAGATACACACATACAAAAACACGCAAGGTAAGAATGTAGTGAACATGCACTGTAAATCTATATGGCTGTTTATACGCATACAATATATTATACACAAAAAACATGCATATGCAGAGGCACACACATATTAGGTAAACAGTACTCTTTTGGCATTTTACTATTGTCAATACTGGCTGCCAATGGGTGCAATATTCACTGTTATTCGCAATAATCACATTATTTTAATAGAATCTATTCATTTTTTATTACCAAGGATGTGTGCTTATTTGATTTATTATTATTATATATGCAAATGCACACACATATGAAGTGGTAAACATTAAAATAAACCACCTTATGTGCTGTTCACAGAATGAGTGCATTGTTGCAGCCCACATGACAACAACTATGCAGAGAACACAGACAACACACACCGGTGCACTTTAAGTAACCACACACACACTTTTCTAAACTGCTGCAGCCCACCAAGTTACCCTCTGTTTACAGGACTGTTCTTTTATCTTGATCCTAACTGGCAAATTGACCACAGAGAAGTCCAGCATACTTGTGGCTGTGCAAGGAAAGCAAGGTAATAGGGACCATGTGTGTGTGTGTGTGTGTGTGTGTGTGTGTGTGTGTGTGTGTGTGTGTGTGTGTGTGTGTGTGTGTGTGTGTGTGTGTGTGTGTGTGGTGTGTGGTGTGTGTGTGTGTGTAAGTGTGTGTGTGTGTGTGTGTGTGTGTGTGTGTGTGTGTGTGTGTGTGTGTGTGTGTGTGTGTGTGTGTGTGTGTGTGTGTGTGTGTGTGCCTCACCTAGATGAGAGGGGAGGTGCTTCCCATTAGCCAGCAGGCAGAAACCGATGCTGACACTGGAGGTTGAACACAGACAGAAATATGAAGAGAAAAAACTTCAACACTGATCTCAGACAGATGTGTTTACACTGATTTGAGGAACTTCTGTATATCCATTTCTTTTCATGAAATCAAACCCCACATTCAATAGTATTTATGCACAAAGGTTTTTCTGGAATTGCCATTCAGTGTATTTACAGACAGTAATTACCTCTCTATGGAGAAGTTACTCACAGGTTTTCAATTAAGACATTTTACATTTCTTAAAAAATCTGTTAAATCTGTTTGAAATATTCCCATTTTGTCACTAAATCACATTGATTACAAACAGTTTTGGAGGTCACTCGGTCGTAGTTATTGACATTATTTACTACTGCATGGCTCAGGACTAATCATTCATTTGTCAGACTGATTATTAGACAGCTTAGTCGAATACTCGATTCTGATTGGTCAATTTCGACATTCCAGAGGTCTGCTATTTTTCGCTATGAGAACGTTGCTAAGGAGAGCACACCGTTGCTAAGGAGGACACTCGGATCAAGGGACTACAGTATGTACAGTCAAATAAAACCAGTAATTATCAGTACAGCGATCTGCTGGATCAAGACTCCTCAAAGTAACCAACGATTACTACAGTATTTCCTGCTGTTGTTTACAAAACTCCTAGCACTAATGTTGCTGTTACCAAGGGTGTAACCATATAAAACAGGCTAGAAATCTTAATGGTTACAACTCTTAGTTACAAATCCTTAAAGTAATCAATGCCTGGAATCTTGTAAACGTTCACAAACAGTTACTCATTCATTTTGAGGAAAGTGAAATCCCTTTTCCAACCTTTTCAATGTTAATAATAACCACTCTCTCCACCATTTCATCTTTCCATACGACTACTCCACCTTTCTTCCACTTCCTCCTCTCCGCTCCTTTCATCCCCTTTTTGTTACCACAGCAGCAAAAACACCAATAAACACAAAAAACTAAAAGACGTACTTGTATTAACCTAAAGGGCAAAATGTTCGGTGGTTTGGTAAATGCCTCTTACGTCAGTCTAAAAATGTTCCGGTTAGCACAATGGTTAAACTGAATTGGTGGAAAGAGCTTCATTGGGATTGAAAGCAGGCTAAAATGTTCCCATTTTCTTTCACTGGGTCTAAGAATACTGAGTGTGTAGTTCGGAGCGGCTCAAACAGGAAACTGGCATTAGTCATTTGACATTCTGGTGAGGAAAAGTTTAGAAAGCTGAAACTGAACAAAGACGTGTGTTTCATAACATTGGTAAGACTTCCCATGTTCTGTTATTGTCGAGGAGCTCTTAACCTGTTAAGCCCTGAGCCTGTTTTTCAGGTCTCAGGCTCGAAAATGACATTCCCAGAACAAATGACCATATCTTCCCTTCTAAAAGGGTTAAATTAATAATCTTTTTTCTCAAAGTAATGATAAACCTGTGAGTTGGATGTAGAAAAGTCAGAATCAATATAGATGTTTTTTATTTTAAAGAAAATTCAGATTTTACATAGTAAAAAACTGTAAATTATAGTGTCCGTCCAAAAATTCTTTTTTACTTATAGTGAAAACCACCCTTGGATGATGGGTTAGTAGACTAAAAGCTTTAGGAATCCAAAGTACAACATATAATAAGTACCCTGTATCAAGATTGATGTAAAACAAGTGACATTTTACCTTTTTAGAGAGATTTAACAAAAAGAAACCACTTCTGGGGTCATTTGGGTGGATTTTCCATATCTCTGGCCCCCCTTGCTCGATTTTGATGGTTGACACCTCTTTCTGACCGTTAGAGCCAATAGAATCAAAGGGGGAGTCCCCCACACACACACGTTGTGAAGAGAAAAGGTGGGGGCTTCGCGCATGTAATTTTGCATCAGAGTGGACCTATCTCTAGCTTTGACATCTGGAAACGGAAAAGCAGTTTTAATGCTTATGGATTATCAGAAATCATTTCAAAGGGACACAGACACATTAGATTAACCTATGGATTAACTTCAGCAGCGTTTGTATCGTTTTAATGCCATTGAAGACCACTTTGGAAAGACTACAGAGCCAAGGTAAAAATGTTAGCATTTTTAGCTACCTAGCGTCACCTGTTTTGATGTCCGCTTTTGCTTATAACGTCGCAAATACGTATAATTCAGTGGTAATGTCGGTGTCAATCGATTCTGTGTCACCTCACGATGTGAAATGATGTGTTGGATGTGGTGAAAAGATAAATAATAAGGTGTTGTGAGTGATTTTCGGTGCAGTAAGGTGTTAGCATTTGTCGCTCGTTGCTAATTCAGAGGCTCAGTGTTAGCATTGTGGGTTTTCTTTTAAAAAAAAAAAAAAATTATCAGCTAGATGAGTTTCTTCCCGTTACATGGATATAAAACATTCATAGTTTTATTAAATGAACATGCCCTCAGACACTGTTTCCTGCAAGATGTTGCGGCAGTACCCCGGTACCGGGGTCTCTCGGGCTTAACAGGTTAAACCTCTCTCAAGATCTTTCTTAAATCATTACAGATATTTCCGCTACAATGACAAATATTGTGCGCTGGATCAAACGGTGTATAATCTTCCTGTTAAGATTCAAATGAAAAGCTCCACTGGTACATTTTATAGGACATGGCAACCATTTTTAACGTACATGGAAAGTTCCCTAACTGATTCTTAATTTTTTATTTATTTTTTATAACTGAATTAGAACACAGATTTAAGTCAACCATGACTAACATTTATCTCAACCTTGCTATGTGTTTTGTTGTTGTTGTTGTTGTTGTTTTAGTTTTTTGTGCTGTGATTTCAACCATCTGTTTGTTTATTTTTAAATGTTTTTGTACTATTAATCTTGTCTTATTCTGTTTGGGGGGGGGGGGGGGGGGGGTTGAAAAAAATGCACAACCTGCACATATGTGTTTTTTGTCATTGAAACTGAATGTGTTGTTTAAAAAAAAAGTAAAAAAAGGATTCAAATGGAAAATAAGGAAAATAGTTGACGTCCATACCATGACACGGTGGTGGTTTCAGTCCCTGTGATCAGCTCACAAGTCTTCTCCTCGTGGTTAAACATGGTCGGCTGCACCGTGAGAGAAGCACTGGCGCTCACTATCGGTCGAGCTCTGATGAACAGACAGAGAATGAAGGCATTAGAATAAAAAGAAGCGTAGATACTGTTGTAACTATACTACAAGTTGTGTTCACATACCTGTATAAGACTGCTTTATCAGCCCCAAAAGCACCAACTATCAGATCTGCAAGAAGGGAAAGTTGCATGAAGATATTACAGCAGATGGCAAAGTGTAAAGGGATATATCAGATTGTTTATTTTGGAAACTGAATTTCCCCCTCGGGGAATTAATAAAGGTCCATCTTGCAGGTCTCCCTTGAAAAAGAGATCTATGATCTCAATGGGACCAATCTGGTTAAATAAAGGTTTGAAATGAAATGAAATCTTCTTCATCTTCTACTTCTTAGTTTAGTGGGGTTGTTAAGGTAATGATCCACATTCAGTGTATTACATTTGCAGAAATAGTACCAGGATAGGAGTAGATGGGGGGCATCAAAACATATTTTTTGTTGAGTAAAAGAAAGGCCCACCTCCCAAAATCATGCTAAGTTTAAGTGTATAATATAATTCGATTTTTTTACCTTTTTTACCTTGAAGTTAGACAGCCATTTGTGACGGGAACATGTTACCTTTATCTAGCCGTTTCTGGGTTCTGTTAGGTCAATTATTGATTTTTTTAAAGAAGATTTGGTAGCTTTGGTGAGGGCAAAGATGTCCAATATGGCTTCAGTTCCCTGTAGTAAAAGGCTCTCTGACAGCAAGGTTGGGTGTTAAAAATAATCTAAATATAGCCTATACTTATGTTGTACGTGACGGGACTACGGATGGAAATGAGCTCAAAGCTAAAATCCGGCTCATTTACATTTCAAAGCATTACTTTGTTTAAAATGTTCATTAATGTGCATTGTCCCGGTTCAAATAAACGATTAAATGAAAAATACCTAAACTGATATTGATTTTTTTTAAGTGGCTTAAATCTGTTTTGCTGCTGTTCCCATGCAGACTGATGGAGCCGTGCCAACCGCCTGTAGGCAATACACTGAATATGGATAAGTTAAGTACCTACATTTTCACTTCGAGAAAAATCAAAACAATCCATTGAATAAATCATTGATTTCTACCTGGATAGCCGTTTTGATCGAGGTCGCTGTTGCCTCGCAGGGAAAAACCAAAACTTGCTGGGAAAGAGCTGGAAGCCCATTGGCCGGAGAGAGTCTGAGTGGGCGTGTCTATCAGTCCTTCAGCAAAGCCATTATAAATGAGAACCAATCCCTGCTGGTCGTCCCCTCCATAGGGACAGCCGATGGCCATGTCTGTTGAAAATAACATCAACAGAAAATATTCAGAATTTCATGTTTTCTCAAATACTGTATTTACACGGTATATCTCACACACACATCTCCATTTTAGGTCTGAAGCTGAAGCCTACATTCAGAGTTGTATGCTGACAATGAAGCTTTTTATAAGCTAGCTACTAAAAATCTAGTGATCTCTCAACTACGACTGCATTCTCAGGTTGCTTATCGAACCGAGGAAGTCTTGGCTAAACTGTTTCAGACAGCGATTAACGGTCAATTTAGCCTCATCAGGAGGAGGCTGTGGCTCAGTGTGATAGTGCGCTGAACTTATTGCGCTGAACTTTGAATCAGGGGATAGCAAGTTCGAGTCCCACTGCAGTCAGCATGTCATTGTCCACAGTACTGAATGTATGTAAGTCGCTTTGGAAAAAAGCATCTAACAAGTGACATGTAATGTAATGTAATTTTAGACTGGTAGTCAAGATTACTTGCTATTGAGATGTTGACATTTTTAAATGTTTATTTCTAGTCTTTTACTTTTATTGTACAATGCCATGTCTTTCTATGCTGCTACAACACAAACATTTCCCAACTTGGGATCAATAAAGTACTAGTTATTTTTGTTTTATGGTGATTAACTCCTTCATATGTAGCAGACCTACCGTTGAATCCGTCCTGGTTGAGATCACCGAGCGGAGCCAGCGAGGTGCCGAAGCGGCTGAAAGCCTGTTGACCAATCAGATGGCTCGGCTCCAGCATCAGAGGGCCTCTCTGCAGGTAAACATACACCTTTCCCAGCTCCTCCAGACGACCATCGGACCCTCGACGCATGAACATCGGAGCGCCCACTATCAGGTCATCCAAACTGGGAAGACAAAGGGAAGAGAGATTAAGACTTTGGCAGATATCCAAACTGGCAGCAGTGATAAGTGATTAACATTTGAGTATATCAGCTTAAACATACTTTAAAGGTGTGCTAGAATTTGAAAATACACAGCCGGAACAAATCTGCCACTTCCTTACAGAGCCCCTCCTCCAACACACACGAACGCGCACATGACCAATGAGGGCACGAGATAAGTTTGTGCACCGATGGAAGGCTGACAGGCAGGTAGGCCATCCAGTTATTTTAGCCGGGCTGGCTAAAATGATTGGTCGTACTTTTTACAGTACCACGGCTTCCACAGATGACATTTTTTAATGGATTTTTTGTCAAAGCACTTAAGATATTCATTGCTATCGGGATGTTAAGAGCATTCCATGGAATATAACAAAAAGTGTATCTCGAGCCGGTTTCTCAAACTTACCTACCCCACCTTTAAGGAGTTTTTCACTGGTTGAGCAATCTCAATTTAATACTGACTTTTAAATCCAGGCTGAAGACTTTCTTTTTGCAGCTACTTTTAATTGAACTATTCACATCTCACACTGCACTGTAACTATTATTCATGTACCTGTGTTATTCATGCGTTATTATCTTTGCTTTTTAATGTTATGCTCTTAATGTCTTTCATTTTTGTAACCACTTTGAATTGCCTTGTGTTGAAAAGTGCTATATAAATAAACTTGCCTTGCCTTAATGATTCACTATGACCTACTTAAGAACCCCAGAGAGAAAAATGGCAATTTCTATATTATAATCTTTCTTAATGCCTGTCACCGTGTCCGATTCTCTGCTAAATGATAAAAAAAGATTTACAGCACTTGGATCGTAAGTGTTTACATTTACACAGGCAAAGTTAAACAGTAATATGTTCGCCAGTTAAAATGAAGCACAGGGATATTTGTCTTCAGAGAATTGTATGTCTTCATGTTTTGTGTTCATTGCTGATCCTAAAGTAGGAAATAAAAAGCTAAAAGGAACTGTGATTGAGCCCCGACAAAAACAGCCACGGTCAATAATTTGATAACTTTCCGGATATGTAAGGATTCAAAATTCCTACAAGATCCTGCTTTGCCCTTTTTACTTATTCAGGGTATATGCAGGAATCCTGAAGTCAAATGTAAGACCTTTTAAGACCTTTTTTAAGACCCTTTCCATACATTTTAAGACCTCATCGCCACTTTGAGTTTTAACCGGTTACATTGGCGACACACTTTACCTCACATTTACTATATACAGTATTGATTGTCCTTCCTCCTTATCTTCCAACCATTTGGACGCAGACTTGCATTTCCCCATAACGATGTTGTTTAACAACCGGCGTAAACGGACCTTCACACGCTATCAAGCAGTGAGCGCGCGATGTCCTGTTCAGATGACGTCAAATCCAACGGGATGCCATAAATAAACTACACAGAATCACACTACACACCTACGCAATGATTACATTCAGGCAGACTGTAGAATACAACCTCTTTGGACAATTTATATACTTATTGAAAACAAGCTACAAAATGTAATACCTTGGAAAATGCCGTTAAATACTTTTTGATAGCCTTAATTTTCGCTAAATTGATTTATCAACTTTAAAATACTTTTTAAGACCCCGCGGACACCCTGTTATTGACTAAGTATGTAATATGTGGTTTTACAGCAATGCCGTTGGTGGCTAAAACAAAGCTAGCTAAAGCTTTGGCTAGCTTCAGTTGAATGTAACTAACATTGCCGCATTTGTTGAGCAAAGGAAGAACCAGCAAAGCTTTCTGTGATTGTTTGTGCTGCTCTGCATTCTAAAATAATTGAAAAAGTATTAATTAAAAGAAGCTGTTTTTTATATTTCACTCGCTTCCAAAACAAGTGCGCAAGTTAGCGTACTTTAAAACACACTAAGAATAAGTCCTGACTGATGATATAGAATAGTGAATAGTGAATTTGAGGAAGTGAAATCAACAAATGGAGAACTTTACACTGAGAGGAAACTGAAGGTATTTTCAGAAAAGTTCATGACACATTCGAGAGTGACAGGGTGACTGAGCATGAGCATGGGAAACTTTTGCTTCAGTTTCAGTGACCTCATCTTTGCCGTTACACTTATTTCCCCCATTTTGTCTCTATTTCTACAGTTTTTACCATCGTCTGTCCCACCGTCACCCTAGCCAAATAAAGGTTAATCTTCGTCTTAGTTTGATCTCAAAATAGTAAAGAAAACAGAACTAAAAAGTGAAAGATATACATCTGTAGACTGTCTGTCAGATAAACACTATGAAGAGACAAAATACAGGTAACACAATTTCAAAGTAGGATTTTAAAGGTCCCCTATTATACTGTTTTTCATCATATATCACAGGTCTCAGATCTATACAGAACATGTCTCTGAAGTGTTTGGCTCCAAACACCAAACAGATCTTTGCAGCATCCCATAATCCCCTCTGTTTCAGCCCTGTTTCAAAAGTGCTGATTCTCTGTCTGTTACTTTAGATGAAAATAAGGAGCCCCTCCCCACGCCCCTCTGAGAGATATTTGGTTAAAAAGAACACAATAGGCGCTTTCACACCAAGTACTTTGCCGTACTTAGTTCTGATGAACTAAAGAGCAGATTGCGTTCACACCGGAATAAGTCCCTGAGGGAGGATTACGCAAATGAAGCCGCTGACATCACTTCGTCTTCTTCTGCTTTGGGTTTACTGGCAGGCCGCAAACAACTTCACGGCGTATACTGCCACCCGAAGTCCCCGGCCGGAAGTCCCTGGAGTTGGGGACTGGCTTCAGGAGAAGCTGCTGGGACTCCTGAAGCCTTCCGAGTAAATCGCCAGAAACGCCGACACCTCCTCATCACTCCACCGCTCCCATGTTTTATTTTGTGTTGCCATAAATTAGTCTCTCTGCTTTTGTGCGCTGGGCTAATGCTAATGCTAATAATGCTAATGCGAGGAAAATAAAATGGCAGCTTCACAAAACTTGTTGGGAGTTTTACGGGGCGTGGTTTGCAATCCGCCCAGCCAATCAGAAATGGGAACCTTTTTCTCCCATGAAAGTGCCTGCTCTCTAGCAGGGACTGAAAAGGGGGTGAAAAGGTTCTCATCAACTAAATTCTAGTTCCGGATTTTTTTGGTGTGAACGCACATTTTCGGAACTATATCGGAACTATACTGGGAAAAGTACTCCGGTGTGAAAGCGCCTAATGGTGCTCTAGGAGGAGATTCAGGTGATAAGGTGGGTGGTGGGGGGGGGGGGGTTACCTTGGTTGGTGGTTGGCTAATGGTTACACAAGCCAAAAATCGTGATGACATCATAAAGTGGCCAAAATCTGACCAGCTCATTTTCAGACAGGTTTTTATATAAATGGATCAGGACAAAAAGAGAGAGAATCTTTGTTCCTGAAACTTTCAGAATCTCTTTCCACAGAGGGGACACATGTGATGTAGAAAAGACATGAACAAGTAGATTTTGCATAATAGGTGACCTTTAAAATGTTGTTAATTTTGTCTCCAGTATAAATGAGCCATCCACTCACCCGTCGTTGTTGATGTCGGTCGCTGCCACTGCGTATCCGAAGTAAGACCCCATCTGGAACGCATTACAAACAAGACTGAGTTAGCCTGTAATCACACCACGGTGCACAGATCCCTTTCTTTTTCTTTCATTTTCTTTCTCCATGCCCTTTTTTCCTCTTTTGTACTCTCCTTCAGCCCCAGAAGCTTTCCTCTTCAATCTCTCAATCCCAAAATCCCCTGGGGTCTCCTCTTTTCTCCCTTTTCATGGAGCTCAGTGTTCAAGCTTCTGTAAGAGGTAGGGGGTCCTGGGATCAGGAATTCAAACCCCTTTAAAACTCACTCGGAGTAATACACATGGGTCTTGGGTTTTTCCGGTTACATTTCATACCATATATGATAAATTAGGGTCAGGTTACATCCTTTAGCGAGCATTGTTTCAAAGTGATATGTACACAGAGATTGGAGCCCCTTGTGAAAAATGAGACAAAATATCAGGGTTGTCTTCCTGTACCACACATGCAAAACAGCTCATATCCACATAAATCAAACTAATGATCTGGACAAAGTTCAGATTCATTGCGATATCCCGTAAGAAGCTTTGCCAGATAGATTTACACTGTAAATAATATGATCTCCACTTCCTGTAGAGCTGAAGAACAGGGATTGTTTACCTGAGCTGAAGTGATATCAGGGAGCTTAGAAATAACATGAAATATAATAAGGAAGTAACTTATATTTCAGTAGTAAATAGTGGTTAAGCACAACATTGACATATTATCACCTTTGGGTTGATATGGTGAACAAAGGTAGATGCAGATACAGATACAAAACTATGTATGTCCATTACCCCTTCCGCATTGTTTTTGTTGTTTTATTTTAGTATTATAAAAATATATCCTATGGCCACTTATAGTAGTTTTATCTAAAGGACTCTAGGAATAAATCACCTGTATCCTTTCACCTCAAGAAATACTTTTTTTGAAACTAATACCAACGCTGCATTTCTTCTGCATAGAGAAGCTTGGCTATACTCAATTATGGCGCGTTTCCACTACACGGCCTCGCTCGGCCTCGCTCGGTATGGCTAGGCCTCGTTAGGACTGGCTCACTTTATGGCGCATTTCCATTACAGTTTAGGAACTGGGGTAGTATCTATAGTAACGCAGTGTAGGCGGAGCCGAGACGTCATCGTCAATGAGAACCCCAGAAAAACAACACAGCCGTTAGCTGTTAGCACTCAGAGCTCACAGCTCCTCATATCTGTTCAGAAACTAGACAAAAGTTAAACAAGTACAAACCACAGACTGCCTGTGTCATGGCGAATACAGTCGCTGCTTTATTTATGTCTGTATAGGCCGTTGTTGTGAGTGTGGACGGTTGGAGCATATACTGCGTTAGCTTAGCCAATCTCCATTTAGAAAACACGCATTTTAAAAGGTTTTTCGCCTGCCGTCTGTCTGCAGACTTGACAAAGCATTAATTCATGGTTTTTACTAACCGGTATCAGTATGTTGTTACTTCGGCATCATTTTGAAACGTGTATTACAATTAAATCACGGTCAAATATGTCCATCTTGTTGTAGTTGTAGCCCCCTTGCCAGCGATGCTCTCTCTAGTTTAGCATACTCAGCCCGACTCAGCCTCGTTGTCTCTGGCCCTAGACCCACGATTTTATGAGGCCAGAAAAACTGTGAATTAGGACCCGCCGGCCGGTACTAGGCCAAGTGGAAACGCAACCAAAGACGGGCTGCTGACGTCACAGCCCTCTTAAACCGTGCTCCGCGCTGTAGTGGAAACGCGCCATTAGACTTGCTTTTCCTTTTATATTTCCAAAAGTTGTGATAGTGCTTTTTTGGTACCATCTCAGTTGGGGTTCCAAGTAAGCTGAGATGATACTAAAAGAAGTTAAAACTTTCGTCACTAAAGCTAGACCTGCACAAAACCATCCTGCGCCGATAAAGCCAAGCTAACGTCAAACCGCAACCACAACTTTTGTATCGCTTAACTCAAGTTCTCAAAATGGCAAGCCCCCAAAACTACGCTCTACAAAGACTTTCTGCTGTTTGGATACCATTGAAAGGATCCAGCGAGTCTTGCATTTAAGATTATCTTGCGGTAGTTTGAAACTGGCGATCCTAAGGCTATGATTTGGTGGTACTGAGGGGGAACTACAACAAGAGGGAAACAAAATAGAGAAAGCATAAAATAAATGTATAATTGTATAATATGATTAAATTGACATGCATTTTAACAAAGAACAAATGCAATACTTAAAATGAAGATACTCCTCATTGAAAATCATGAGCGATCAAAACTCCAAGCCAATAAAACCAGAACAGTTCGACTTCTTTAACAATAATGGTCAGATACCTCTAGAGATATCACGTGGTAAAAACAGCATGGTCCCTGAGGCATGACACATTGTTCTGTGATTTGGAAACACAAATTGTTTTTGTAGGCCAAGGATACTTGGCTGTACAGAAGAAATATTGTTTACTGGCTTAGAAAAATTACAAGATTTAAGGTTTCATTCACCAAACAACAGGGGCCTCTTTCACAAAGACCCTCTGGGGTGTTTTTGCAGCTGACTACACAGAGAGCAGACAGTCCATTAGTTTACCTCCGAACTCTCGCTATGACTTAACAGTTTACTCAGCGCTTTGAGACTGACACCTCTGAGCTGATGACCTCCCACACTGACCACACACACACACACACACACACACACACACACACACACACACACACACACACACACACACACACACACACACACACACACACACACACACACACACACACACACTTTCTCATGTGTCTGGGGTCACATCCCCTATCTTCTTGCTGTGTTAAATTGCACAATAAAGTCACCAGTAAATCAGTTTTCCTCATGGAGTTGTTAGCATGTCCCAACTCAACAGATAGCTTTGCATGTTTTTCAGTTTTGTTTTGCGTAATCGTTCCTCCTTTCGATGCCAAAATAGTTCCCAAAGCGACTTCATTTCATTCCTACGCAAGAAGAAATTCCAAAGTTGATCAAAGGTTTCATTTATTTTACAACCACAGTTACAGTAGTCTGAGTCAGACAAACCATGAGGGTAACTTTGAAAAATACAGCCTCTTTAGTGCCAAGTTCCCACTGTATGTTTTCGCCAATTCAGTTAGGAAGTACAGTTTCCATCCATCAGTTTTGATGTGCATTTGCAATTGAAAATATGAGTGGATTTAAAAAAAACACTTGAAACACACTTGCCTGAGAAGCAAAAGATGGTATATAACGATAAATATATAAAGGAAACAATTGTAACCTAAACTTAGCCAATATCCTTTACATAGATGAAGCAAATTAGTTTCATGCCCACTCTTTGGAACAAGGAAATAAAAGTGACGTTTTCAATACGTGCCTCTCTCCTTTCAATCGAGAAAGCCTAGTTTCAGCTGAACTTTAGAAAGCAATTTTTAGTTACAGTGTAGGAGTAAGGGACATTTTGTTTTTTAAAATAACACATCTTCTGGTTATATTTTAAGCACTATGACTAACAGCTCAGCGAGTGACTCACAAATTCAACCACACTACAGGACTTCCTGATTTAAAAAGTACATGCTCAATCAATGCAGTGACAACATGAACACTAGCTGTTTCTGGGTTTGGGTTACAGCTTTTTAGGAACCTTGAGCTGTGCATACTGTAAGCTCAAACTCTGACCCTCTCCACAGGGCACATTCCTTCATCTCCAGCCCTCCAGCCAATTTAAACGTGTACCCACATATGAAAATGGGGCTATATTACAGAAGATATCCAGCCAGATGTGCACATACCTGCTCTCCTGTCAAGTTGAGCAGAGACTTCAGGTCCTTTGCATTCAATATGGACACCTAGTGCGACGGAAAACATAGATTATTAAGGTATACTGCATGTTTATACTTTTAAATGTGTTTTTTTTCTGTTAAATATCGAGATTCCTTACTACACCATAGAGCATGAGTCCTTTAGGAACTCCTGTGATGAAATCTGCATCAAGGAAAGCAAAGGTTAAGAGATTTCAAAACAACACTGATGACAAAAAAAGGTGTGACCACACTACATTTGAAATCTTGCCAAGTATATTTGTCTAATATCTAGTCAGAATATGTATTTACACTTGCTATAAGACATAATAACTTCAGTGCAGTGAGATATCAGGTGTTGTTATTAGACAATGCATCATCTTGTTAAGTCAAACAATCTTATTTTGAGTTGTATCTCAGATGAAACTTTTTTTTTTTTCACATTTTTATTGGAAAATCACCAACTAACATCAGAAAACAGAACACTTTTGAGCATTTGCAGCTTATTTTGCAACACAACATTTACTGATTCTGGTAAAATATAGTTCAACATAAATTTTCCCAGCTAATTACAAGATCTGATTTATCTAGATATCCCTTCTTCAAGGAATCTTACCAAGCACATTTTCACGTGTTCTATTGGCAGATTTTTGTACTTATTTCAAGTGAAAACAGCTTGTTTTTGCATTTTTTTCCAGTGCAATGAACAAAGACACTTCATGAAGTTTGAGGTTTGTTTGTATTTTATTCCCCTCTAATTGTTCCTGCTTCCGGAAAGACTTAATAATCCTTTTCCACTCAATCACGTGTGTCAAGGCTGAGCAGTTAGACATTAGACAGAGTTTGACCCTGTAGTCAGCCATGCATGTTGTCTCTCTGTACTGTAAACATGACCCTCACCTTCCTCATCATCCCCACTGAACTCGCCACCAGCCACAGAGTAACCTGCAGGAGGAACAAAGATTAAAGACAGAGTGAGAATGAGAGCAAACAGCTGTGGTTGGGAGTGATGAATAACATTAAAAAGGTTTTATAATACATCATCTGTTTTAGTGTGTGGGTTATAAGAAGTTTTAACAACACGTAGCTATTTTGTTTAATGATATTAGATTAGCGAACTAATTGCTCTTTTTTAAATAAGTCTTCAAGCTAGCTTCAGCGAGCTAACCCAGCAGCACAGATCACACCCACTTAGCTAAAGAACGATAGCCAATTTACATTTGAATCACCAAAAGGTAAATCATGACAGGTCTTTTGCTTGTTTATAATTATGGTACGTTGCAATCTCCCCATAGACACACATATCCCAGCTAGAGATAGAGGTTTTAGTCTTTCTGGTTACTAGTAAAATAAATAGCCTTCACATTGTTGTTGTCAGTCATGTAGCGCATGTAGCATCATTTGTTTACATCAACTGACAATTTTAAATAAATCATATTTAAATGTTGACATCTTACAATGGCTATGTGTACTTAATTTACAATTGACGATGACTTAATGCTTTGCAAAACCTGGTGCCTTTCCAGAAAAAGCAACATACTGCTAACAGTTCAGTCAGATATTAGCGCGTCTAAGCTAGTAGCGGCTAATGTAGCAAAGAGCTGCTAGCTTCAAGCAGAAAGGCACCTGATACAGACATCTGGCAAAGCTCACTTCTTTCTTACTCTCAATCCTTTACTTCCAGCGATTGAGTTGCATCATATTATCCAAAAAGGAACTAGCAAGAGTAACGCTATGTCTAAGCAAGGTAGCTCTGGATGTTTTTCTGGACACTTTTTATTCAACCGCCTATTGGCTTTCTTCAATTTTCTGATTACGAAGTTGACAATGTGACATGAGGTTGCTGTTAGAGGAATGTTTCATCGTATAAACCACAAATTGGCTCGTAAGCAGCTAGCACGCTTTAGCGCTTCGTCTATGCTACAAGCAAGGTAGCTCTGGATTGTTGGTTTGGTCACTTTTTAAACTGGTCTTTCCATCCTTATTATGAACTCCTTATTGATGAGTGAGACCGCTTTCCTTTGCGCTGAATAAAGACAACAGCAAAAAACGAATCTAATTGTAAATGGTGTCAGTAATACTATTATAACTGAAGCAAACTTGATAGAAAACGAACCTAGCATTTATATAAAAAGAGAATAACTAAATGCAAATGTTAGGGCTGATATGTTGAGAAAAGGTTTCCCTCAATAGGCCCTGTTTTATTGGAGTGCAATGCTAAATCAATGGGGTACTCACACGACCAAAAACTATAAAACTATATATAAACCATAAATATTCCTCAGCCATCTGGAAGGGGGTTGGGGAACGATCAGAAACCCGACAGTATTCCCCTATACTGTGGCCCTTAAACTCCAGGCCCCACAGTTTGAACATTTGGAAGAAGGTAATGACGGCAAAATGTGTGTCCTGAGGCCAGCACCAGTCACAGTCACTTTTACGCTGCTATGGACAATTTTGCACTCCCTTTTGCACTATGTACATCATCTTTTTTATATATATATCCTTGCTTACTTTAAGTAAACGGTTATTTTGTGGGTTTTTTGTAAATTATTGAGTCTTCTTGCATTTTAATGTGTGAGTTTTTTATACCTCGGGATTGTGGGAGACAGTGTTTCGATCTTTCTGTGTATACAAACATATTTTGAGATTGACAATAAAGTTGACTTTGACTTTTTGACTAGCTCTAAAGAAAAGGGTCATCAAGTTGAAATAATCAGAAGCTTACTGTATATCCCCTTGGGAGTATTATTGTGCTCAGTCTATTGGTGATCTTCCCATTAGATGATGACCTAGTATCTTCAGTCAGGTCATGAGTCATGCTTTCACTGATATTTTTGGCTTGATTGCAAAAGAAGAGGAAAGGTCAAGAAAGTCCAACTGCTGTTTTCCAGTTTTTCCAAGTACAAAGTTGACAATTTGCCACGAGGTTGGTGTCCAAATGTGTACAAAATGGAAAGAGTTCTTCCTCTATGGCACATATGTCAAACTCAAGGCCCGGGGGCCAAATCAGGCCCTTGGCGGATTTAATTTCGGCCCGCAGGATAATTTCTAATTACTATTAGATCTGGCCCGCCGGTATATTGCACGCCCACCTTCACTCAATCCTGAGGATTTCCTCAGCTCAGAGCCTGACCCCAAACATTGATGAACTTGCACCCAAGATGAGATGCCAAGTATCTGGCTTGAACTAGCATCACAGCAGCAAACTGAGTTTCAATGGATGTTTCCTTCTGCACTTTTTCTCTTGTGACAACAGGGCATGTTTGTTTTTTTCTTTGAGGGAAATTGTTTTTTTGAAGCTGTTGTTGGCCTGTGGAAAAATGTAATTTTGCAATAAACATTGAACCAGTCCGGCCCTCGACTAGTACCCATTTTTTAATTTTGGCCCACTGTGTATTTGAGTTTGACACCCCTGCTGTAGGGAGTATGAATGTGATAAGAGAACTTTAGAAGGATATTCAGTTAGATTTAGGTTCTAATTACCTGCAGTCTGAAATGAAAAACTCAATCATTTGTTTTTAAGGTGATGGTTTTTTCCTTGACTTACCAAAGTCCTGGTCAAAATGTTGACCTCATGGTGGTGTTAGACAAAAGGTCAGAGGGTTTCTAACACCACCAATATTAACCTTTGGGAACCATGAATATCCCAAACTCAAATGTCATTCTGCTCTAAATGTTAATACATAATAAACAACCAACTTAAGTCATAAGTTCTTGCTGCTGGCAGGTGTTAAAATGTACAGCAGCAATAAAAGAAGACTATCCAATATTCCAAAACACCATTAGCCAGAAACATTTCCCCTTGGACCATTCAAACACACTGGCCTGCTTAATACTGAAGTACAAGGCTATTTGTTATGCAGAATGACAGCAAAAAATGTTTTCTACATGGCGATAGCATTGCCTTCCCTACTATCCCTCTTATTGGCTACTTGTTGCATTGGTTAGTTGGATTGGTTAGGCTTAGGCTGAAGCCCCACGAGGACAAAGCCGTTTGACCCCCCAGAGCGCTCCGTTTGCAGATCTATCCACCTTGGGACCCGTTATCGTTTGCGGGATCCGTTTCTATCGTTTTGTTACGGCCTCGTGTAAATGAAAGGGCTATACGCAAGAGACACTATGCGGATACAACCCGTTTCGTTCCCGTGTAAATGGGGTCTGAGTGTGTGAGTGTTAGCTTCCTAGAGCAAGTGGTACTGCTCTGTATGAATGAGGTGTGAAAGGATGAATGAGTACATGTAGTATGTTAAGTGCTTTGAGGGGTCGCAAAGACTGGATAAAGCGCTATATAAGTACACTCCATTTACCATTTACATGTATTTGACTCAAGTGTACTTCCTCACCCAGATAACTGTCGTCGTAGTTCCCCTGCGCCTGTCTGGTCTGAATCTGTCCGGCAACAGACAGTAGAAAGTATGAAGGGTAGTAGGCCTTCACAATCTCCTCTGTGGTGGCTGAGATCAGCTGGCCTGTGGGATGATTGGTTGACAAAGGGTTAAAGGTCAGGGGTTAAAATAAGACATGTGACTTTTGAACTCTTGCTCCTGAACTAAAGCTTGTTTAAAGACAAAGGCATTGATTTTATGAATCTTTAGAAAGAAAAATCCATGCTGTTTCACATTCTTTGGAGCTCACCTTGCCAGTAAAAACTGCCTGGTCCTCCGAGCACAACCCTCCCGTCCTGAAACACACAACAGTTACATCATGAGTGTCAAACAAACTCTGCAAATCTGATGTACACAGCAGAATCTCCACTGCTTACTTCGACCAGAACAGATTAGCTATTTGTTGGATTATGGGGGAAACGGGTCCAACAAATGTTTATCTTACCTTGGTGAAGTCTGCACTGAATCCACCTTGACAAAAGCCCTGTCCAACAGGTCCATGTCTTTCTGCAATGCACAGCATCAAACATTGGACACTTAACATAACATTTAATACACATTTATAGACATACACAAAAAAACTAAACAATCTGCTGTGTTGAGAGCGGGAAAACAACAGAACACGTCAAAGTCAAAATTCAGGGCAGATTTTTAGCATTTGCTTTAAAAGTAACTGTTTTAACTATCTGGTTTAGTCAATACGTTTAAAAAGTTGACCTGAATTGTAGACAGCAACTTTCATTCGATATATAGTTAACAGTATACAGAATATTTAGCACAAACATATTTATACAAACTGTAAAAATGCTAGAAAACAAGTTAAAAATAACTTTTAAGGTTTTTTCTTCTATATAAGTGCACAGGTTTTCAACACAGAGCAAATATTTGCACTCTCTTCTCTATCCACTCATATGGATAGTGTCAGTGTTCTGGGAGTATAACAACTGTGTGGTTGGGACATTCCCGACCTTAGTACTCTGTATATGCGAGAGTGAGTAACTCCTCTAATTTACTTACTTTGATTTGGGCGATAATCTTGCTCTAAGTTATTGAATGATTTGGGGGATTTAGTAAAATGTCGCCATGGACTCAGTTAGCTTTGCAAACCAACGTTTTTTTAGCCTACATTTGTTAACAGTCATACAAGTACAAGTATGTTGAATAAGTGATTAGCAATACCTGTTTGCAATGCACCCAGTTACAAACAACTATCACTGGATTACTTTGGCATTGACGAAAACTTAAAATCTTAAGTAATACAGGATTTTAAAGGGGGCTTTCTTAATCTGGTAGAGCTAGTGTTATGGCTGCTAAATGTGGCATCCCCCCTCTGGAACTTTGGCTAGGATGGTCATAATCTCAACAAACTCACACTGGTGTTTGTTATTCTCCTCTAGTTTAAGCAAACAAAAGCATTTGACTCTGAGCAGGTGAAATGTTAAAGATAATTTATGGACGTATATTCGGAAAGGACATCAAGGAATGCTTTCCTCTGGGTTAGGGTTAGGGTTGTTATCGTATCTGTTTGTGTTATGAATCCAGAGTCAGATCTGAGTCAAACAAAGACCTGTCCATTTCACTTTGCATTTTCTTTGCATCACGTCTCCGTTTTTGAAGTCCATAACAGAGCTAAAAGAAGATATTCATAAGGTGGAAAGACACATACTAAACACTGAATACTAATGTCGCTTTTGGACTAAGGTAAACTACACTTGCTCCGATGTTGGCCATACCCTCTCTGAAGGATTGCAGAAACTCACCTGTTCGGCACGGTGCGTACTCAACAAAAGTTTTCAGACTGTCCACAGAGAGGTAGCAGGTTCCTGTGACATCAGCGAAGGGTTCGTCATGTTCGGTTCTCCAGTAGTACCGGGGAGCACAAGCCTGGCAAACATATAGAGAGAAGCCTCTCAATGACATCCTGATCCTGACCTTCTCCCTAAAACATCACTTATGCAATCAAAGCTTATCCACTGTAACTACACACAGAACGTCTGTTAAGCTTTTAGAGCCCTTGAAATCTGGAAACTAGTAAAACGGTACTCGATGGACATAAAAGATTGGAGGGTGGGCTCGTTTTCTTGGTAGAAAATACAAAAGCAGCTCCAAGTAACGGAGGAAACAATGTGTGCTGTGAGGAATCTACTTCCATGGCCACAGGGAGACATTATATGAGCCATATGGAGTTTGTGGGATAACAGGTTGTTAGGAATAGCTGGGGAATGTTTCAAATGTTTACTACGCATTAAGCAGCAGCTGTGTACTGCTTTGCATTTCATGTGCGGTAATATATTTGATTTTACTTGCCATACTCATGGTTTAGTGGTCACCCTTCCTCCTTGTAAAGGTGCAGCATATTGCTTCAAAATGCAATAAACTGGGACAACCATTAAACTGTGTTAGTATCTGAACTATAGTTATGGTACCAACTAGTGTACCCTGCAATATAAGATCAACACTGCCTCTTATTTTCATTGTCTTCTACATTAATTAACAATGCTAACTTGTTGCCTGGGACCTATTTGGAGGCTGTGGCTCAGTGGGTAGTGTGCTGGACTTCGAATCAGGGGGTATCAAGTTCGAGTCCCACTGCAGTCAGCATGTCGTTGTGTCCCTGGGCAAGACACTTCGCCCCAAATTGTTCCTGTGGGGATTGTCCACAGTACTGAATGTATGTAAGTCGCTTTGGATAAAAGCGTCTAACAAATGACATGTAATGTAATTTGTGTTGCTGTTTTTGATTCAAACTAAATTGGATAACATGAACATTGCTATTGTTACTGTTAGCATTCAGCGTTCACTGACTCTCTGTATAAAAGCTAATGGAAAGTTTATTACAAACCTTTTAACATTATATGGAAACTGACAGTATATTTTCTACAAATACATGTAGTAAACAAAATATGTTGTGTAAGTTTACCTATGTTTACCATTTTTAAATCATTGAGGGAACATTCTGCAACCTTGTCTGAAGAGTACATCGAGCTAACCCACATGGAGTTCATATTAAAAAATCCCCAAAATACAATTCAATTTAACCTTGTGCACTACTATGGACACTTTTGGATTTTACATTTTGAATATTGGGATTGTTTTGGTAAGAGTATGAGTATTATATTTAGAAAGTTGAACATTATCTTTGTCATTGCCCAATATTTTGTAGTTCATGACGAGGACTGAAGTTGGTTACAAATATTTAAAATCAGTGACGGTTGACGTTTATTTTTGGGTCGTGATGATCAGTACTGATGTTCTTTAAAGCCCGCGTCACACTGTCCCAAAATTGACACCAGATGGACACACGATAAAGGAAATGTAGCAGCAACTTCGTGAGCGGTGGCAAAATCTTTGGCATGCCAAAAAATTGCCGAAAGACCTTGCGAAGGTTCATTTTCGTGTTGAATTCGTGTGTCCATTTTGCCCTTCGTAAGGCCATCGTGAGGGCATCTAGTCAAATTGTGTCATCTTCGTCTTTACTTCGTGTGATCATCGGTTCCATCGGGCATTTTTCGCCTCACGAAGACAATACGAAGGAAACAAGAAGCTGCCCGATTGTCTTAGGAAGGCAACACGACTACGTGAAGCCCTCGCAATGTCGTCGTGTAGCCATCGTATTATAGTACAATTTGTGTTCTGTGAAACTGAAAAGGATATTACATTGTTTTTGTTACTTTCTTTGCAGTTGTATGTCTTCAATGTAATTTAGGTTAACTTCCTGTTTTATTTAGATGCTTTTATTTTGAAGGCGAGTTTACGCTGTTGACAGGAAGTTGTTGTTGCTATGGAAACAACATGACGGACGGTATGGTTCGGGTGCCATCGTTTGGCCTTCTGTAGGCATCGTACTTGCTTCTGCTGTTGCTTGGCTGTTGACCAAGTTCGGGGCCATCTTCGTGCAAAATTCACAATTCCATATTCGTGTGTCCATCTGGTGTCAATTTTGGGACAGTGTGACGCGGGCTTAAAGGAAGTTACTAAGTGAAATCAATATTCAGAATATTTACTATTTTCATGGACTTTGCAGGCAAATTTCGCATCAAAATCAATGTTGTTGACCAATATTTTGTAGTTATGATGCGTACTGAAGTTGGTCAAAAAATATTTAAAATCATCGACAGTTCAATTTCTAATTCTTACCAGGATGCTGTTGCCATGGGAACGCACTGTAGCTCCGAACCACTGATGGGACTTGAACTCCACCTGAGTGTTCACGTTGTTTATGTAAAAATATCGATCGCCTAGAACAAAATAGACGAGAAAAAAACACACATTTAAGATCATATTTAAGACAGCTCTTCTAAGATAAGATAAGATAAGATAAGACTTTATTTATCCCGACGGAAACTGTTGTGCCAGATTACAAAAAATACAATAAACACAGCAGCATAATAGTAAAACTGTACACTAACAGTGCAGTAAAAAGAGCAATTAAATATCTACAGGAAACATAGACGGTCACATAATTAATGTAAATACCTAGACACCTTGTCTTCTTGGAAAATGTGACTTCAGTGATTTTCAGGTTTTGCTATTCGAAGTAAGTCAAAGATCCCCTTGTCATCAGTGTTTGATTTCTGTGCTGTCAGGGCCTCATTTGAGTGTGTTCCCCACATGTTCTTGGCTTTTTTACATGGATATTTGATGGCCTTGTTCCAGGGCTCTGCAGTCTTAATCCATCCTCCATGCTCGGCAGACATCAAACAGCTCAAAAGGAGTCAGACCTTGTTGTTACTGTAAACCAAACGGCTGTACTTCATTGTCAGGATCTGTTTTAAGAAGAGGCCCATGGAGGTACGAAGGCAATGAGCAGTGATGAAAAGGGGGAAGGAGGAGTGATCTAGGTGTGTTGTTTTTCTGACAAATGTTGTACTTTTGCAGCCTCAGCAGCATTAAACCTTCTCAAGTTTTGTTCTCAACAACAACATGCTCCAAAATGATTCATTTGGAGAGGTAAGATGGTAATATTTCTTCTTTGATTGCTATCCCTGGTCCACTAAATGTCTTTATAGGTGAGCCAGGTTGAGTTTACTTCCAATGGCACTCTGTAAAAACAAATCCCTACCTCGGAAACACAAATCATTTGGGACTGATCCGACTCTTTTAAAGGGGCCCTGTAGTGCTTTTTAGGGTTTTCACTTTCCTGTAGTGTGTTCTATAGGTTTGTGTGCATGTAAATGGTCTGCAAAGAATAAAAACACCATGTAACACTGTTGGTTAGCGCTCAAACACATTGTATGTGATAGGCTAAGAGGTGGGACATCTCTAAGCGGTGGACCAATAACAACAGAGCCGGCCAGCTAACCAATCAGAGTAGTCTGGGCTCTGGTTTCAGACAGAGGGTGAAAAGAGGTGCTGCAGCACAGGCAGTATGAGAAAAATAAAGAGCTTTTTGAACATTAAAGCATGGAGACATGTCACAGTAATTGTTTGGTAAAAGCGCAAATGCTTGATGTATGGGATTCACCATTGTCCAATTAGATGAATTGAGAGGCGGGACTTCTGTGGTCACTTTTGCTGGATACCCAAAGCTATATGACTTTACTACTAGTTACCATGACTTGAACATATTGTGGGGGTTTTCCTCGTCGATCCTAATTTCTTCTTCATGCAGGAATTTACTCACACCTACTGCTCAGCACAAAAATGTATTTTTGCAATTCAGCATCCTTGAAAATCATTTAAGAAAAACCTGACGCCCTAAATCACAATTACATACTTCTGTTAGTGCATGTGTAAGCTTTACTGTGGTCGATTCTCTGATATGTTTGCCTGCTGTGAGTAGCAGAGTGGTGACATTAAACTCCTCTGGCTGTGTTTCAGTGCCTGTTTGGCTAATGAAGTCTGGGCTGTGTCCTTAAACACACCGTGAATCCTGAGGCCTGCAATGGGAAATGCAAGAAACCAAAAGCATAAGCATGTGAGTGTAAATATGTGTGTGTGCAGAGATGGCCAAAGTACACACATCCTTTACTCAAGTGGAAGTACAGATACTCATGTTTAAAAATACTCTGGTAAAAGTAGAAGTACTGACTAAACTTCTTTACTCAAGTAAAAGTAAAGAAGTATGGGCTTTGAAATGTACATAAGTAAAAAGTACCCATAACTGCAGCTGTTTTAAAGAGTACCTGACCTCCCTTTATATTAATAGAACAATAATGTCATTGTTAGCTAATGAATGTTTCCATGCTGAACAACGGCAACATGACAACGTGTTCATTGGTCCCTCTTCTTTAGAGAAGACCAGGAAATGATGGATACACGGATCGTGTTCAAATCAATAGGCACGCAATGACTCTAAATAATAATGATCACGCCACCAAACACACATTCAAACTAAAGTAACCAGCCTGTTTGGAAAATGTAAGAAGTAGAAAGTTCAGGTATTTGTGTTCAACATGTAAGAAGTCAAAGTAAAAAGTCGTCAGAAAGATAAGTAAAGTACTGATACCAGAAAAATGTACTTACTGTAAGTACAGTAACGAAGTATTTGTACTACTTCCCACCTCTGTGTGTGTGTGTGTGTGTGTGTGTGTGTGTGTGTGTGTGTGTGTGTGTGTGTGTGTGTGTGTGTGTTTGTGTGCGCAGAGTTTACATAGCCGCAGCTCCCAGTCTTGTCTGATATCAACGTACGATAAGTTAGACCCTGTGATCCTCAAACGGTGGTCCTTATCGCTTCCTGTATTTCTGATGAGGGTGATTATTTTTCAGGGGGCAGTTCAGGTCCTCTGGGGTCTTTGTCCCCATTATGACTCTCCACTAATTAAAGAACGCTCACAACACTGGGCCCGAGTCCAACAGGAAATCAAAGCTCTGTGAAAACACTGCAAAATACAGACAAGGTCCCAAAATGGAGACCTTAGCGAGGGGGGGAGGAAAGCTAGGTATTAAAGCTAACGAAAACAGAAGCAATGGATTAGACACTGTAAATATCTGCACTTCTGACCTCAGGGTCACAGTTAACCCGGGATGCTACCTTTGGCTTCTCTCAGACACTTTTTATGGATGGTTAGAGACAGATGTTAACGATTCGCTTCTGTCTCAAACAGTTTAACATCTCTTTTGGTGAAAGTGACATTTTTACTTCCATGTCCTTGAACAATGTGATTTACAACCTCATAATGGCATGATGTAGGGACAATTCTCTCCATTGGATTTTCAATTGAAGGGGCCATATTATACTTTTTAGGGTGTTCTCTTTCCTGTAGTGTATTATATAGGTTTCTGTGCATGTAAATGGTCTGCTGAACATCAGCAGGAGAGGACTCTTTAAAGTAGAGACACTACATACTGATATACACCTGAACATCAGCAGTAGAGGACTCTTTAAAGTAGAGACACTACATACACCTGAATATCAGCAGGAGAGGACTCTTTAAAGTAGAGACACTACATACTGATATACACCTGAACAACAGCAAGAGAGAACTCTTTAAAGTAGAGACACTACATACTGTTATACACCTGAACATCAGCAGGAGAGGAACTCTTTAAAGTAGAGACACTACATACTGATATACACCTGGACATCAGCAGGAGAGGACTCTTTAAAGTAGAGACACTACATACTGATATACACCTGAACATCAGCAGGAGAGGACTCTTTAAAGTAGAGACACTACATACTGATATACACCTGAACATCAGCAGGAGAGGACTCTTTAAAGTAGAGACACTACATACTGATATACACCTGAACATCAGCAGGAGAGGACTCTTTAAAGTAGAGACACTACATACTGATATACACCTGAACATCAGCAGGAGAGGACTCTTTAAAGTAGAGACATTACATACTGATATACACCTGAACATCAGCAGGAGAGGACTCTTTAAAGTAGAGACACTACATACTGATATACAACTGAACAACAGCATTTTAGGGCCCCTTTAACGTGGCTTAGAGATCACATTTTTATCTACAAAGAGGAAGGCTCTTCAAATTACATTTCAAGACACCCTACCTTGCTTGTCGAAGTGGATCATGCTGCAGTTATCGTGTCTCCAGGGGCACGAGAACACGCCTCCTCCTTCAGTGATGTCCGGCTGGCTGGTGTTGGCTTTCGGAGCTCCGATCAAAACACTGAAGCTAGAGGAGGAGGAAAGAAAAAAAACGTAAATTGCGGTGATGGGACTGTGTCCAGGAAAAGTGCAAGATTACGCCAAGTAACATTTGTGTTGATCTCAAATCAAAACAAATGGAATCAAGTGCAATTATCCTGTCTTAAAATAAGTGTTGTCTTACATACAGCTGATGAAAAGAGGATCAATCTGGACAAAGAAGGGGGGTAAAAAGAGTCTGAAGGGTACATTTGGAGCCTACATATGACTATAGGATGCCAAAAGTATTATTTTTTTGCCAGTGAGTTAGATGAGATTAACGTTAAGGTAAACTACCACCTTGCTTTTGAAAACCTTTCGCCGACCAATCAAGTTGCAGTTTACTACACTGAAAAAACTGAAACGTTGACTTTAAATAAACGTATCATGTCAACAGATTTCACATAACTATATTAGGTTAGTTGAAAGCAACAATATTAAGTTTGAATACAAAATATTATTGCTTTCAACTAACCTAATACAGCTATACAACATTTAATTAAAGTCAACATTTCAGTTTTTTCAGTGTAGGGCTGGACCGTAAAATTCCCATATTCTTTTGTTGTCTAAGGATTTGAGGATTCAAGTATTTGTGCGATCACGTTGAACTGAAGACAAAGGCAGAGTACTAAATATGGGAGGTTAATTTATCCATGATTAAGAAAATGTCCAAAAAGTGCACATTGAACATTGAACCAAACAATTCTGAATTTCCAAAAACACACCAAACATTTAAAAAAAGGAATCCGGTTTTTTCAATAACAATGAATATACACTTTAGAAAAACTCAATTGACACTATCTGTATAAGTGTATGTATTTAAGTAGACTAAAAGAAACTTGTAGCATTTCAGACAAGAATTGAAAAATGTCTCATTGTCTCGTTACTCAGTAGAGAAAGCAAGACACAGAAGTAATTTATACAACACTACTATAAAAAGTGGTACCAAAGGTTATCATCCCCTAGTTTATGGGGTCTCTTCCACAGCACATGGTTTCCCATACACACACTTAAAGCTCAGTTTACATCTTTCACCTCAGTGGCTGTTCTTCTGCAGATCCCTGTCATTATCACTAACAGTTAGTAATGGAGGATTTTAAAAGTCTGCAAGAGGAAAAACACTGAGTCCAGAATCGCTGCCCAGAAGGTTAAACATCTGTCTTCACTCAACAATGTCACATATTGTAACATTAAGTTAAGCTGAAGATTTGTAACCGCAGCATGAGGTCAAAGTCAGCAACGAAATCCTTTATCCTCAGTTAATGTATGAAATAAAAAGCAGTGTAGACGGAGGAGTATCATTTTTGCCTCAAGCCAGGTAGAGTCAGTGTTCATATTGGCAGCTATTTTAGATTTAGTCTTAGTCTTTAGAAAAAATTGGTTATTAGTTTTAGTCACATTTTAGTCCTTTTTATCCTTCATAGTTTTAGTCTAGTTTTAGTCGACGACAACTCAAAAAGTTTATGTCCAGTTTTAGTCGATGAAGAATCATTACATTTTAGTCAACTTTTAGTCCAAATGTTTTCTCTCTTTAAACTAATTCAGTTAATACAGGTATCTGAAATTGGAATCAAGAGGCGCTTTCACACCGCAGTACTTTTCCCACAAAGGTTCATCAGAACTTAGTTCATCAGAACTCTTTAGTTCTCATGAACTAAGTACAGATCGCGTTCACACCGGAATAAGTCCCTGGGGGAGGATTAGGCAAATGAGCCGCTGACGTCACTTCTACTTCTTCTGCTTTGGGTTTACTGGCAGGCCGCAAACAACTTCAAGGCGTACACTGCCACCCGAAATCCCCGGCCGGAAGTTCCCGGAGTTGGGGACTGGCTTCGTTAGAAGCTGCTGGGACTCCCAGCAGCTTCTAACGAAAGTCTGCTCTCTAGCAGGGACTGAAAAGGGGGTAAAAAGGTTCTCATTAACTCATTTTAGTTGGTGGTGTGAACGCAACATTTCGGAACTATATCGAAACTAAAGTGGGAAAAGTACTGCGGCGGCGGGTGGTGTGTGTGTCTACAGAAGGTCCAGTTGTGATAGACACGGTTCGCCACTGCGAAAACCAATATACATTTCGTCATAGTTTATATTATCAAATATCTATTTTAAGCTCGTCATCGTCTCGTCTTTGTCATGTAAAAAAGGTCGTTGACGAGGTGATGAGCAGGTAGTATACAGTGAAAACCAAAACAATGAGTTGAAAGACCCTAAAACTCAGTAGAGCTTAGGGGGACTGCAAAGCCAGTACAAAATTGTTTTCAACATTTCACATATTTGTTTCTAATAAAAGTCTGGGGAAGTCTAGATAGGACGTGATACCTGTGTTAGGGTCCGGTGTGAAAACAAGTCACTGTTGACTCATTTTAATGTTACATCAGAAATAAAAAAAACATAATAAGTGTAGCCTACTTGTTTCAAGCCAAACCGTGACCTTTTACAGAACCAAGTAGTTGTTGTTGAGTTATTTTTTCGTTTGGTTTGAGTTTGCAATGTGTTTAAAACTTGAAATAGTTTTATGAAACGTTATTTTGTAGGAGACCAGATTGTTATGGTTCTTAGTTTTCCAGATAAAGCTGTGTTAATTCAAGAGTTTTTCTCATAATGAAGAAATTCTCTTAGTAGAGCAATATAGGAAGCTTAGCAACTGCACTAAAAATACACACTCCTGTACCAAATCGGTCCGGAGAAATGAGAATTTAATAACTGTAATTACCAAGATTGTAATCAGCAAGTTAGGAAAAGTGGCCTTAAGCATTTTTCCCTATGTCCAAAAGATTTCAGCCTTGAAATATATGAATGGCAAGGCGTATGTGTGAATATCATGCACTTAAACCCACATGCAAACGTACACATGCAAGACAGTGTTTGTGTATAATAAGCCAGCTGTGCTTTCAAGGTTTTCAGACAAAGCTACAAAAAGGCCTGGTGCTGAGCGAGTTTCCCAACCTAAGACTTGGTGACTGATGACATTAGCAGAGATGAGACGGACTCTGTACTCCCCCCCCATCCCCCAACATGTCTGGAGAGCACAAGAGGAATATTTACATGGCTGGATAAGCTCTTCTTATAAACCACTCACTCCACAGCCACTCTTTAAGGCCGTCTCTCACAAAGCTACAGGACTTTTTAACCACTGCCTCCACCTGTGATCTCTGCACGTGTGGAGCTTTTAAGAGACAATTAAAAGCTCTTGTAATGTAATTTTACAACAATACCAGGAGGTGTATCAATGGGATGGTAGATGTTTTTGTTGTGACCTGAAATAAGGATTCCTTTCCTTTAACTCACACTCAACAGGAACATCTGCAAAGAGGGAAAAGGCTTAAAGGCACGGCCCGGGTCAATGATGCAACATGTCGTTTAACTCAAGGATTTATGAGTTCAAGTGAAAACATTTACACACGCACATTATTCTGAAGCTAGTCATCGCCTAATGACAGGTCTTCGTCAGTCTAACTGTTCCTATGCATGGATGCCTACTCAGAACATTATCTTCTACACATCATTGTCCTTTAAAGAACACATTTTCTGCCAGATATTCAGTAATTTTACGCTTTTCGGCTGCTAAATGTATTTCAATGCTTCATTTTAAGGGGTACAGTACAGGCCAAACAGGTAAAGAGCCACTGAGCTATAATGATAAGATCTTACATTACATTTAGCAATAAACTACAATATTTGTCCATGAATCCCACAGAGCTTCTTGATCCAAGCAAACCCTGGTCAGTTTTCTTGAGATGTTATCTGGGTTCTTATAATAAACAGGATATGATGCTTACATGAGCCGGATCCCCAACCTCAAATTCAGTTTTGTTTGGGTAGCATGCAAATACATTCAGTAAACTCACACAGAATGTGGGTGGCCCATATCTCTCATGTTACTCAATTAGGGTTTTTTTGTAGTATTTGTAGTACTTCTAGTAGAAAAATCCCCAACCCTTTTAGATCATACATTTGCTCTGAACACTGACTGTGACTGCCTGTTCAGTTCAATTGTGCTATCAACGTTAGCCATTTGGTAGCCTTTATTGTAGAGTTCATATATAGGCTGTCAAACATAAGAAGATTATAGATTATAGCTAATAAATTATCCAACATTTAAGCCATGATGCAGAACACACTGCCAACAACGCTAATTTTCGGCTTGCTAACCATACTTGCCAACCTTGAGACCTCAGACATCGGGAGTATTTCAAAACCACTGTGGGGGGGCTAGTGCATAGCGGGGGGCGGGGGGGGGGGGGGGGGGGGGGGGGGTTCTAGTAGTGGATCGCCGGAGCTGTTAGAACATTAACATGCTTATTGTAGTTGCGGCCTGTCGCACCACCCTTGATGGAGCATATGGCCGTTTCTCAATGTCGAGTAGAGCTGCTGCAGAGCCACTATTTCAAGTATACTACGTCATCGAGTGGTGCCGAAGGACTGTTTAAATGCATGTTAAATGCCCAGCATTCGGCGCCACTCGATGACGTAGTATACTTGAAATAGTGGCTCTGCAGAAGGTATACTCGACATTGAGAAATGGCCTATGTGTGGGCTGGACCTGTATTTTACAGGAAAGGAGTGAGCAGGGGGTAGAGTTGTCGATTCTTGTTCTGTTTTCTGTGACTATCTGCATGCCTCACCCTCTCAGACTTTCAGTTGAGCGCGCTACTAAAGAGACGCGCCATGGAAACCAAACAATGGTGTAGCTGTATTAAAGTCCGGGTGGAAACAGTCGTGACTAAATCTGATTTTGTCAGAAATCGGGAGAAATGCGGGAGAAATATGACCCCGGGAGGAAACCGGGAGAGGGCAATGAAATCGGGAGTCTCCCGCGACAATCGGGAGGGTTGGCAAGTATGATGCTAACACACCTGCAATGAAAATGCTAGCATGTTAATGTTAAGCAGGTATTATATTGAACATTAACTAATAAGAACTTGAGGCTGGTGGAAATGTCAGTATTATAATGGCAGATCTTGGGTTACACTAAAGTATCGGACAGAAACGTTTAAATGATGGACCTGGAGACAATCAGGGGGAAAGAGAGAGAGACACACAAACACCCACTACTGCACGTAACAGTGACGCTAAAGGAAAAGTCTATGGATTTTCTGAAGACATTTCACCATAAATCAAAAATATCAGCCTTCTGGCGACACTATGGCGATGTTAAAGGATGACCAAAGTCAGCAGGAATTATCCACGATAAAACCATGACTGTATGCACAAATATAACCGCTATTCATCCAATTGTTCTCACAATATTTAGTCTCGGCCAAAGCAGACGATCCAACCAGTCAAAGTTGCCATCCCTAGAGCCATGATGCAATTTTTGGTTGTTTTTCACTATTGAACCATCTCTAGCAACACACTTGAGGCCTCCTGATTCAGACATATTGACTTTAACTGGACATGTGTGCGGAGGCAGTGAAAACAGAGATAGCAACTGGGGTAATTGTGAGAATGCATGACAACCAGCAGAAGCATCCCATCAGCAGAATAAGAAAACATCTCATGGAAAGCATCCGTTTCCTGTTGTGTTGTTTACCTACCACAAGACAAAATTCCCTAAATTCATGAAGATGTCCAAAAGGGGTTGAGAGCTGTCAAAACACACGAGTTTGGTCAAAAACAAAGGTTGTATTGTTCAGCGAAGGCACAACGATTGCAGGGGAAAAGGGGGCTTAGTCAGTACAAATTGGTCTAAATCAACATCTCAGTAATGACTCAACAACATGCTCTCTTACTGCCAGGAGCTTAGTTAAGAAAACTGAGAGAATCTTAACCAATTTCCTCACAGGAAGATATCTACATTCATTACACTAACATTGGTTTTACTGTGCGACCAACGAGGATGTTAGTGAGGGATAGTGGTGGAAAAAGTACTCTTAGTAAAGTTAACTCAAAACTAATTGCATCAAAATATACTTTAAGTACCAAATGTAAAAATACACATTGTGAATAACGGTCTATAATGTCTGAATATGTTAGTTGATTGCAGTAATAATACAGTCATGTGTTCATTCCTATATTGTTACAGCTGGGTATTTTTTACAACTATCCCCTAGGTAGAAATGAAGTCCTTACATAAAGTATTTCAACCAACCCACAAATTCATTGTAGTCTAACTGAGGTTGTTAAAAAGTAAGGTGATTATTATTTTTCTTTGACCTACTTTATTTATTTATATATATAAATGGAAAAAAGGGGGTACATATTGGTATCATGCTCTTTCTTGATTGTGTTACCCTGTGAAAATTCAATAAATATATCTTAAAAATGAGTGGAATAAAAAAGGTGAAGTAAAGACTTTAATATTTGGAGTTGAGCGGAGTAGAAATATAATACTGACACGGAGCTGATAAGGAGTCAATTAAATCTGTATGGCTTAGATCTCCCAACACTTTTCACAGGAGCAGCTTCTAAACATTTTCCACTACGAGCTGCTCTCCAGGAGGTTATCATAAAGCAGATTAACAGCTGATATGCACTACATTTCTGTCGTCATCCAAAAAACAGCTTCCAGGTGATGTAACACATCCTTTCTGGCTCTTCAGCAGCAGCAGCAGCTGTGAACAGCTGGCTGAGGGCGTTTCGGCTGGACAAGCCAAATGTGTTTCAACGTCTCCAAAAGTGATATAATGCTATGTTGAAATCCTCTTGTTAGCTTGTTGGCTGTAAGTCTACTGCTTAAACTCTTTTATAAACTCTAAACTTGACAGAGTTAGTTAGGAGTTGAAAATGCAGTACAGTTAAATAGGTAAAGTACCATTATTTCTTAATTATACGGACATTACTTAGTGTTCAGGTACAGGTAGACGTACTGGTGTTTGTTAGCTAACAATTTGTTCAGCTTAAAGTGAGACTATCGTTATTGCTGAATACCTGCCACTGTGGCAACAAGTGACCATTATTGTATGATAGTAAATAGCAAAATAGTTTTAGCGTAACAGTAGAACAAATAGATAAGACCAGTAGAATCAGATAACAGTCTCATATCAAGATATCCACTCAAAGTTTGCTAGAATTTGCCACCAAAAGCTTCTTATTAGACAAAGGCTGTAGCAGTAATACCTGAACAAGCAAGGGTGCGTTGTGTTGCATATTATTACAAATTCATAAGCAGTGAATTCATTTCAGACTCCAAGTATAGCTGGCTTTAACTGCAAAGTTTTCGCTAAGCCTCAATTCATATTGGAGACCATTAAGGGACAGTTTACCCCACACATACAAATACATAGCCTCTCTTTCCTCTTACCTGTAGTGCTTTTTATCAATCTAGTATCCGGGTCTGGGGTCAGAAGGTGGACATTTGCATGCAATGTCGTGTAAGTTATAGATAACTTATTGTAAAAGCGACATTGTGACTTTATGACCCGCCACCAGAGCTAGCCATATTTTCTAGGAAGCCAACCTGAACCCAAACATCATTACAATCTTAACGTAATCGAAATAAAACGATTATTCTTTTATTATTATTATTACTTTTATTTTTTTATTAATTCTTTTTTTTATTGGTTTTTCAGTTGAATTATACTTAAAGTTCAGGGTGATCAACTGTTCAAAACATACTGTTCAAAAAGAAATTCTCCAATAAATTGATGTTTTCAAAGTAAATGGATAATCGTTTAATCGTGATATCAATTATTGACCCAAATAATCGAGATTATGATTTTTGCCATAATCGAGCAGCCCTAATGTTGGGCTCTCACAAGCACAAGCCTGTTGACAATGAGTAGATATGATGTGATACAGTTGGCGGTTGTAGTTTGGTAGAAAGAAAAATAGTTCCCACATGGAACAGCTCACAACAAAGTCTGTTTATTATCTGAAGTAATCGGGTCATGATGTCCTGAAAGAGACATTGCTATTCATTGCTATTTAAATGTATTTTTGGCAACAATAAGCAATATGCCATACAGTTCCCTTAGAGAGACATCTATGGCCAATATCTTCAACACTGAGAAACTCACACCAAGACAATCTGGATGGATAAATAGCCCTACAGGTAACAGGAAACATATGTTGCCCTAATATTTCTGGGGGACGAGGAGTGAACCGAGCCTTAAGCACAACAACAGTAACATTTAAAATGTCAAATACTAGAATGTAACAGCAAAATATAGGCTACTAATATAACTAGTCGATTTCTGGTAATACAATCTTTGGTAAAAGCTCCGTGACTCGAATGTAATGAAGGATAACGAGAGGCACAAAATGTATGTGCAGCGGAGAAATGGAAACCCATAAATCCACTGGCCCTCATTCATCATATCCAAGTTGGATTATGACCATGTGTGTGTTCCATTATCGCCCACAGGAGGGTTTTCTCAATGAGCCAAAACAGGTGACGGTCTGCTGTGTGTGTGAAGAAAGAAGAACATCGTTGATCTTTGACTTTATCTCACTCAGCAGTTCCTCCTCTGTCAACAGAAGAACCAGCGGGAACCCCCCCCCTCGCCACTTCAGTTTATATTCAGAAGAAACAGATTAGCATATTTCTTACTTTGCTGTAGGTGAACCCCCCCCCCTCTCCTCTGAATCAAACACACACTCAAATGTCTGTTTCCAATCACACTCGGGCTGGAATCCTGTGTGTGTGTGTGTGTGTGTGTGTGTGTGTGTGTGTGTGTGTGTGTGTGTGTGTGTGTGTGTGTGTGTGTGTGTGTGTGTGTGTGTGTGTGTGTGTGTGTGTGAGAGAGAGAGAGAGAGAGAGAGAGAGAGAGAGAGGAGGGGATCAAGAGGAGAGAGAGAGAGAGAGAGAGGAGGGTATTTGTATTTTGATATTCCTAATATTACAAGTATTTTTGTATTGTATAAATGTTAATTCTACTTTAATGCTTTGACTCAAAACCTTTTTACACCCAGGAAGCCATTGAATTCAAGTTGAGACGTGCAGATATTGAATGACATTTACCTTTGTACCCTGACAAGATCCATCATTATGTCACTATGATGTATTTAACAGGAATAAGTTATATTGTAAGTTTTAAAATGAGTCTACAAATAGTGATAAAGAAAATGTAGGCTGCTGTGCCAACAAATTAAAGTAATTGAAATATAATATAGGAACAAGATCACCTTAAGTTAACCCTAATGCTTACTACATAAAAACCACAACATTTTATAGGAACACTAGAAGATTGGCAAGGGCTACAATGTTGATATTCTAGGCTGCAAAATAAAAAATAAATGAAGTATGTGTGCAGAACAGAAATGTAATATGTAGTCAGTGGGGGAAAAAGTACTCAGGTCCTTTGCTTGAGTAAAAGTAGATTTACTATGGGCTTAAAATACTCCATTACAGGTACAAATCTTGAATTAAAACTATTACATAAGTAGAAATACAAAAAGTGTTATCAGTAAAATGTACTCTGTATCAAAGTAAAGTACTCAGTATGCAGAAGGCTCTTTTTTGGGTGTTGTCTAATAATATTATTCAAGCAAATACATGTCAATTAATATTAATGTTGTTGTTTGTCAATGTAGAGCCACTTTTAGATGCTTTTTAAAAGAATGTGGATATTAAAAATGTATGTATTGCATCAAATCATGTGTTTTCAAATGCACAAAGTAGCTAATAACTATGAGTGTTGTGATGAATAAATGTAGTGGAGTAAACGTATAGCGTTAAATGGAAATAGTCAAGTAAAGTACGAGTATGCACACATTTGAGGAAATGTACTCCCACCAATGCATGTGTTAGTTAGTATATCAAAAGGATCCCATTAGAATAAAGGAATAGTCAAAGTGTGAGTTAGTGTTAAAGGCATGCAAACATTGAGGTGCTGCATTGAGACTTTACCTGGATGAGTTGCTCAAGAACTCCACTGAATATCCGAAGTAGCTCCCCGGTGGTCCGGTGAAAACGACGCGTTTCTCCGTGTCCAAGTTAAAAGCGGCGCAAAGCTGCAGAAGAATCGCCACTACAGGTAAAAGTAACACTGCGTTATGACCACTTTTTCCCCAGGAGCGGGGAGGAGAAAGTCCAGGAACGGTGCCCATCTCTTCTGTTGCGCGTCTCTTCTTTCATTGAGTAGCTGAAGCGCAAAACGCATCATCCGTGCAGAACTGGAGTATTCATAAAGTTCTGTAGTAATCCCTTCAGCTCCAACAGGTCCGGTGTTCTGGTCCAGAGTGCATGGTGAAATGTTAGAGAAAAGAGAGTCAGAGAGGGAAAGAGAAAGGGAGGGAAGGAGGGGGGATGATTGCAACCTCATTTGGGGTGGAGCTTTACATATTACCAGACTACAGGCTGTGGTGATGCAGTAAACAGATATTACTGCAAAACTCCGTCTATTATTAGACTCAGAGGTGGAGGAAGTACTCAGATTATTTACTTTACTACACTGTAAAATACTCAGTTACACAGTGGTGGGAAGTAATTAGGTACATACAGTCTATCTATCTATCTATCTATCTACATTTACTCCAGTTTTAAAAAAAATGTACCGTACTTGTACTCAGTGGTGTAAGTAACTAAGTATACTCAAGCACTGCACTTAATTTTGACAAACGTGTACTTTACTTAAGTGTATTTTATGCTACATTTACTTATACTCCACTACATTTTGGAGGCAAATATTGTACTTTCTACTCCACCAAATGTATTAAACACTCATAGTAACTTTTTACATCTAAAAACACATGATATATAATGAGATGCAGTACTGCAAATGTACCTAGTATTTTATAAAAACAAATCGTAACTTGGTGCCACATTGAAAAACAACATTGTTCAATACTCCTACATGTATTAGTACACATTATGCATACTGAATACTTTTACTTTTGTTACTTGAAGTACATATCGCTCAAAGTATTAATGTACTTCTACTTGAGTAACATTTTCAATTCAGGACTTTTCTTGAGGAGTGTTTTAAGACCCTAATATTCGTACTTGTACTTAGGTAAAGAATCTGAGTACTTCTTCCACCACTGCTCTGTAATTCTTTGCGTAGTCTTTTATGTTTGTATGTTGTCATTTTGAGTCAATACAGAAGTCCTTTTGAGTTACATTTTCTGTAATCCATCCATAGTCAACTTCCCTCAGGACTTCAAGATATAAGACTTACACAACTTGTGTCTCATGTGTGCCAATGACTGTGTATAGCTTGTTGTTTTATATGGCAGATTGACATTAGTTGTGATTAAGCCATCAGAAATGCATGCTTTGTAATAAATCTGCCAAGTTTCTTCAAGACAAGACATCGTGTCAGGGTGCTTACATTCAGAATGTTGTGGGGTTTTGTTTTGACATAGTCTGCATGTCAAGACATAATTCAGAGTGACTAAACCTGGAAACCCCACAAACATCCATCTCCAGTCCGTCTCTCGTCACTTTGTAGGAACTGAAATTACAATCATGGCAGACTGACAGCAGGCCAGAGTACAATGTGTGATTATTTGTAGCTCTCTCATGTGTGTCTGTAGCTCAAAGGAAAAGAGAGTGTTACTTTTAAAGAGCGGTGAGTCAGAAGGTCTCACCTGCCAAAGGCTACAGGAACCGGGACGGAGAGTTTATGTCTCTGTAAAAACAAATGATCACAGGATACTTGTAGAAACTGATAATACAACAGTGAGTTCCTCCTGAAACGTAACAAATGCCAGCACATGTGGTGGATACTGGATGTTTAAAGAGGCCCTATTAGGCTTTTTCGGGTTTTCTCGTTCCTGTAGGGTTATATAGGTTTTAATGCATGTAAATGGTCTGCAAAGGCTAAAATCCCTGTGTTCCCTCTGCAATGAAACGTCTCCATTGGACTCCTTTGTTTACAAGGCGGGACATCTCTGAGCGGTTGACCAATCACAACAGAGCCGGCCAGCTAACCAATCAGAGCAGACTGGGCTCTGGTTTCAGACAGAGGGTGAAAAGAGGTGCTGCAGCACAGGCAGTATGAGAGAAATAAAGAGCTTTTTGAACATTAGAGCATGGAGACATGTCACAGTGGAGGAACATTATTGACCTCTATTGGCATGAAGTAAAAACTGCAGCATGCGGGGCCTGATACATTTTCCAAACGATGTAGTGTTGCCCTAGTTTTAAGGATGAGATAAACACAACAATAAATTAAAATAAGTAAAAACAAGTTACAAAAACAAAACAGACTTTGATCACAATACAATAAAACTTGAACAATGAAACCGGTAAATGTAACCCAAGTTAAAAGCCAAATTAAAACAATAGGTCTATGATTTATTTTTTAAATATGGTGTTCAGCCAGTCAAAACCAACACTGCTCTATTATTTGTTTTACTCGGAAACAGGCTTGCTATAACATGTTTTCTATTTTCATTATTGCAACATCACTGTAACTTCAACAACAACCAAAGCAATCACAAGATACAAGCATACACATTTCCTCTTTAACGCTGAAAGCTAAGGGCACTCACCATTTACTGACCTTCTGAACTGTCTCTTCCTGCTTCTTGTCTCTACATCCTGAAATATGTCAAATTACAGTAGCAACACCCCGTCCACGTGCTGCCTCCTCATGACTTCAAAAATACGGGCTGTGTATTTAAACGTAGTTATCAGATACAAATACTTCCCCTGGTCCAATTCAAGTATCCGTTTTTTTATCCTGGAGGGTCTTGGGTTTGACATTTGAAACAGAGACTCAGCTCAGAGGAAGCTATAGCTTTGACCGAGACCTCTAACGTCACAGAGGGTCTCAAAATGTACTTCACAGTAAATAAATAATGGCTAATAATACCTCTGATCTACAGGTATCGCCAGAGGTGGGAAGTAGTGGAGTACAAATACTTTGTTACTGTACTTAAGTTCATTTTTCTGGTATCAGTACTTTACTCCATACTTATTTTTCTGACGACTTTTTACTTTTACTTCTTACATTTTGAACACAAATACCTGAACTTTCTACTTCTTACATTTTCCAAACAGGCTGGTTCCTTTAGTTTGAATGTGTGTTTGGTGGCGTGATCATTATTATTTAGAGTCATTGCGTGCCTATTGATTTGAACACGATCCGTGTATCCATCATTTCCTGGTCTTCTCTAAAGAAGAGGGACCAATGAAAACGTTGTCATGTTGCCGTTGTTCAGCATGGAAACATTCATTAGCTAACAATGACATTATTGTTCTATTAATATAAAGGGAGGTCAGGTAGGCTACTCTTTAAAACAGCTGGTAGTTATGGGTACTTTTTACTTAAAGTGGACCTATCATGCTATATTTGAATAATATATTGTAGGGCCATACCTATATAAGGTATATTTATACGTTTTCTTTTTCAAAATACCAAACAGATCATGCATTTTAGCCATGCCTCATTTCGCTCTATTTTGCTGTCCTCCACCCTGTCTTTGCATGCGCTGCAGCTGACCACGCCCCCCTGCAAAGGAGGGGGCCGAGTTACCAGCTTCGTGTTACCATGCTGTTACCATGCCACGGCAACCTCTCATTCCCCTGATAGGTCAGCTCCGCCGTCCTGACGTCAGAGGAATGTTCAAATCTGGATCAGTTTTTATCAGATCCGTTGCAGCCCCGTTTTTAGAGATTTGGGTATGGAGGAAAAGAGAGAGGGTTGTGTTTTCTGACACTTGGTGAGTTCCCTGGAACACCGGGGACACATATTCATGTATAAAAGACATACTAAAGTGCATTTTGCATGATAGGTCCCCTTTAAGTACATTTCAAAGCCCATACTTCTTTACTTTTACTTGAGTAAAGAAGTTTAGTCAGTACTTCTACTTTTACCAGAGTATTTTTAAACATGAGTATCTGTACTTCTACTTGAGTAAAGGATGTGTGTACTTTTGCCATCTCTGGGTATCGGTAACACCAAAAGTATGCAGCAACGCACCAAAGCTAGCAAACAAAAAAGTAAACAATGCTGGATTTTAAACACTTTCCAAACTCTACTATGCACATGTTTTATGACAACATAAATGCATCTAATATGTGTTAAACTTAAGGAATTTTGTTGCAAAAAACTGAAATTGTATCCTTTGTTTACCTTAGTAATAAGGTATCTGATACCCTGGAGGCACACATTAGCAGCCATGTTGTTTTAATTGTGGTAATCCAGCAGCTTCCTGTGTGTGTAGGTGGCCACATGTGTGTGTGTGTGTGTGTGTGTGTGTGTGTGTGTGTGTGTGTGTGTGCGTGCGTGTGTGTGTGTGTGTGTGTGTGGAGGGAAGAGAGCTCCATCTCTCAGAGCTCCAGACAACATGCAGACACTCAGAGTAGGTGTGTGTTATGTCTCTTATCACCTTCTACTCTGACATTATGCAGACTGTCTAGTGTGTGTGTGTGTGTGTGTGTGTGTGTGTGTGTGTGTGTGTGTGTGTGTGTGTGTGTGTGTGTGTGTGTGTGTGTGTGTGTGTGTGTGTGTGTGCATGCGTGCTTGTGTGTGTGGGGGGGTTGGGAGGTAATTTTGGCTGTGAAAAGACATACATAAAATCCCCCACATGGCAGGCGAGTTGACCGTTGGAAAATGAAACCCTTTAAACTTAACAAGCCTCCGCGTATAGCACAATCATTGCAGAAATGCTGAAATAGGTGTTCTAGTGTTCTCTAGTGTTTTTCTCAGGCTTTGTCAATTGGCCTGGAAGCAGCTCAGCAGGTCTTTGAGCTTCTGCGGTTTCAGCGTGCTACTTGAAGCTTGGAAAAATGTTCTCTTTTCATGGATTTGAACAAAAACAGTTAAGGTCACTGTGTTCACTTTTTCTTTTCATCTGTCTTTGGATATGAAACAATAAGTCCACAGAATGCATCACAGAGTAATACGTCCATTCAAATATGGGTGATTGTTCTTTAAAGAGGCTATTTCCCTTTCCTGTAGTGTGTTATATGTTGTTTTGCATATATGGTCAACAAAGGCTAACATCTCAAAGCTCCAGGAGCAGAGGGGAAGTCATCTGTGTGTTGTTGATTTGATCGTGATTTTGACTTAATACACTTTTCTACAGTAATATCTGTTTTCTTTGTCTTTCCTGGGACATTTTCACCTTGACAGAAATAATGAAACTCCACCCTGACTCCATTGGACTCCATTGGACATTGGGAAGTTGTTGACCAATCACAACAGAGCCGGCCAGCTAACCAATCAGAGCAAACTGGGCTCTGGTTTCAGACAGAGGGTGAAAAGAGGTGCTGCAGCACAGGCAGTAAGAGAAAAATAAAGAGCTTTTTGAACATTAAACCATGCAGACATGTAGAGACACTACATACTGATATACACCTGAACATCAGCAGGAGAGGACTCTTTAAAGTAGAGACACTACATACTGATATACACCTGAACATCAGCAGGAGAGGACTCTTTAAAGTAGAGACACTACATACTGATATACACCTGAACATCAGCAGGAGAGGACTCTTTAAAGTAGAGACACTACATACTGATATACACCTGAACATCAGCAGGAGAGGACTCTTTAAAGTAGAGACACTACATACTGATATACACCTGAACATCAGCAGGAGAGGACTCTTTAAAGTAGAGACACTACATACTGATATACACCTGAACATCAGCAGGAGAGGACTCTTTAAAGTAGAGACACTACATACTGATATACACCTGAACATCAGCAGGAGAGGACTCTTTAAAGTAGAGACACTACATACTGATATACACCTGAACATCAGCAGGAGAGGACTCTTTAAAGAAGAGACACTACTGACTGATATACACCTGAACATCAACAGGAGAGGACTCTTTAAAGTAGAGACACTACATACTGATATACACCTGAACATCAGCAGGAGAGGACTCTTTAAAGAAGAGACACTACATACTGATATGAACCTGAACATCAGCAGGAGAGGACTCTTTAAAGTAGAGGCACTACATACTGATATACACCTGAACATCAGCAGGAGAGGACTCTTTAAAGTAGAGACACTACATACTGATATACACCTGAAAATCAGCATATGTCCTCCTTAACAATAAAGCATGTCAATGTTGTGTTCATAGACTCATTTTTAAAAGAAAAACATCTGTTAAAAAACGATTTCTCCCTTCGACTTACAACTGTTAAGATATTCTCTCTTTAAAGAAAGCAGAAAGCACCTTCATCGCCCAGAAAGGTGGTGTTGTAGGTTGGAAAACTGTGATTAAACTGAAGGACCTATAATCAAACTTCTGTCAGCGAGCATCCACCCTGATGAAGTGTATCTGAGGAAGGCCAGCTCATGTTATCAAGCATGACGTCCGACCTTTACCTGACCTCCAATCTGTCTGCCTATTGCGGAAGAGAAAAAGAGAAGAGTTTAAGAACACGATTTCCCCTTTTTTCACATGATTTGCTCTTGTTTGTTGTTAGGAGTTTGATTATCTATGTTTTTTGCACTTTGGATGTAAGCGTCTTTTTGCTATATCAGACTGTCTGAGTTTTCTAAAAATATTCATACTTACTTAGTATCAACTTGAACTTGTGCTGACCTAGAAACGCATGCATTTTTACAAGTTGTGCTTCGAGGAATGTGACCTAGAGCGTTTGAAACCCCATA